AAAGAGTAGTACTGCAGTGAGGTGTGTGGATTTCGTGTCAGTGGATTTGCTGCCATTTTATAAAAACCTGTGAGCAGAAATGGATGCCCACCACTAGTCACGCATTCTTTTTCAGATTGTTCAGTTCGGCATGAATGAAAAGGTTGGGCAAATCTCCTTTGACCTCCCCCGTCAGGGGGACATGGTGTTGGAAAAGCCTTACAGTGAAGCCACGGCCAGACTAATAGATGACGAAGTACGAATACTTATCAACGATGCTTACAAGAGGACAGTCGCTCTTCTCACAGAAAAGAAAGCAGATGTGGAGAAGGTGGGTGCCGGCTCCACCAATGATTCTCTGCACGGTTTTGCAGAAAGAGTTGAGACTGATGGCTTGACTGGTTGGTTGGTTTGTAGATGCCGACGTCCCCTGTGCTTGTTAATCCCAGGCTCCTTCCTCCATCCTGATGCTGTGTCTGCTGTCTCTGTGGGGCTGGGGGGATGTGGGAAGAGCAGCAGCGGGCATGATCCCGGCTCCTGGTTCTTAGGAATGTGAGCGCGGGATTAACAAAGTCTGTTCACGACACCAGACACACAGTTGAACCTGCAGTCACCCACCAAGTGCTTCCAAATGCGGAGCCCAGTGGCCTGATTGGGATTGACCACTGCTCTTCACCTCCAGAGTAAGGAGGTAGTGGAACAGCAAATGAAAGAATTAGCCAAACTAGATATGTAGGACCTTTGCTTAATTATGACCTTCCATGAACAAACATTCTTTTTATCTTCCGTTGTTGTGCCTCATTTGATAGCGTTTTCAAAAGCGAGGGAGCCTTTCTAATTCAGTCGGTTTTTTGTATCCAGTAAACTCTGAATTATTCAGAATCCATGCAACCAAACGGAGAATCTTCTGTCTTTTAAATATTCCACACTCTCATGATAAAAGCACAGGTGAAAAGTCTTCTATAAAGGACTGATAGAGAAAAAAGCTATTCTAAGATGATGCTGTCCGATCAGCAGATCTTCAGAGGAGCCCACTGTGAGCTGTGCCGGGCAGAGCCCGAGGTGCCTTTTCACAGAGCGCAGGGTAGGTGGGAGGGGCCTGCAGCAGGGGCTCCGATGGGAGAGGGCAGAGAAGGCTGACATCCACCCTGACGGCTCATCAGGCTACAGTGAACATGGGGAGGAGAGGAGGACTTGCTGTGTGGGGCCCTAGTGAGCGAGGAGGGGGTGCAGAGGGAAGCACAGGGTGTCTGGGGACTCCAGAGCTCTGCGGGAAACACAGCTCTGGAGCTAGAGGCGCCCTTCATGGAGATCTCATCTGGCCCCTGTGTTTTATCGTCAGGAGTACTAAAAGAATCTGGAGTGGAAATGCTTAAAAACTCATCATTAAAGGAGCGAGCGGCAGGGACTTCCCTGGTGGTCCAGTGGTTAAGACTCCGCGCTCCCAACACAGGGGGCCTGGGTTTGATTCCTGATCGGGGAACTAGATCTCGCATGCCGCAACTAAGAGTCCGCACATTATAACTAAGATCCGGTGCAGCCAAAATAAGTAAATAAAAATAAATCTTTAAAGAAAAAAGATGCCAAAACTTAAAAAAAAATAGAGTGGCAGCAGGGTGCCATCTCCAGGGGGACAGTCAGAGGCCAGTGCAGAGGCAGCCATGGGTGTGTTTTAACTTCCTGAGATGGTGCCGTGGTGGCAGCAGAAGTAGAAAGGCAGTGGTAACAGTGAGCGGGTCTAACGTGACCCTGTTCCCTGTCCTCCTGACACCATCCCTCACTTCCCCACTCGTAGTTGGCAGGGGTCCCTTTTTCTGTGGCTGTGTGTCATGTCAGTCTTGTGGTTCAGCCACACAGAGACCAGAACTTCGAGATGCATATTTTCACGTTAATCTCCTGCTTCATATTGTGTCTCTGCCTCATTTGTCTTTATTTTTGTCAGCCACCTTTTAAAATTTCCCTGTTTCCACCCTTTCCCCCACCCCCACCCCCAGTCACTTGCATCACTTCCTCACACTTCCTGGCAGGATTTCTTTCTGCTCTGTAAGCCAGAGGGAGCTCCTTCCCTCTTTGGAAGCAGGTGGGGCCCAGGGACACTGCGTCTGGCTCTCCTCCCCGAGGATGTCCTTCTGCGGTGTCAGGGACAGAGCTCCCCCACTAAGTCCAGGGCACAGTCACAGGCCACATGGATGTACCACACTGTGCAGCCACGCCCTTCGTGGGGACACGTGTTTTTCCAGGACTTTTGCACATCTTATTCTAAAGTGACATGACAGTGAATATCTCTTTTCAGTGGTCCTAAACTGTTTTTTGGAAGGGGGTTGACTGTAAATAGGAGGTGATGAGATTGGAGAGACGTTGCTGGGTGACTGTTTAACCACAGGTGTTCGCATTGCAGGTTGCTCTGCTCCTGTTAGAGAAAGAAGTGTTAGACAAGAACAACATGGTGGAACTCCTGGGCCCCAGACCGTTTGCAGAAAAGTCTACATATGAGGAATTTGTGGAAGGCACCGGCAGCCTGGATGAGGACACCTCGCTGCCTGAGGGCCTGAAGGACTGGAACAGGGAACGGGAGGTCTCAGAGGAGCCCTCGGGCGAGAAGGCCGCCAGCCAGGTCCAGGGTGCTGGCCCTGCGTAGCCAGAGCTGCGCCTTCAGAGCTGTGCTCGGCCTCATGACACAGTGGGAAGTGGGGTGCTTCGTCCGCGGCCTCGGAAGTCACCCGGGTTGCGGGGGAGGGCACGTGCCCCAGCCTCGGGCTCTCCTGGTCTCTGTCCCCGTCAGGTGGGGGTCCTCCTGCTGTCACCTGCTCTTCACTCCCTCCTCCCTTCAGTCTCCCTCTGTGATGGGCTATGAAATTAGGAATATTTTCATTGATTTAATATTTTAAAGATGGAATCCGGGTCACAAGTTGCTGTTTTGTGATGGAATGGTTTTCTACAGAGAGCTGTAACATACTTAAAAATATGAATGTATTGTGTAAATACGGCTTCTTTATGTCAAAAATAAAGTGTAAACACTGCACTTTTTTTCTCCTGAACATACAGTGTCACTGATTATGCTTGGGCTACTTCTCAGAAAACGTAACGGGAAGGAATTGAATGATGTCACTGTTAGGGTCTCAGGTTTGTGGTTCTCTTCAGCTCCCACAAGATGCTCAGGAAGTCTAGATTTGTTCATCCTGGAGGATGAACTCGGGGTGTGAAGTGTGTTGGCCCAAGTGAGTCAGTGAGCCTGTGACAGCACATCCTCACTCGGCTGACCATGACCGGGCCTTGGTCTCACGTGTGGGTCTGCAGCGGATGTATAACCACCACTGGACTGTGGACTGGCAGGCTGGACTGCAGGGCACCGCCACTGGGCTGGGAAGCCTTGCGCCTTCCGCGAGGTCACTGTTACTGTTAGAAGGGAGTGATGTGCTGTTGTGGTTCCAGAAAAGCCAGAGTCCACAGTGCCACAGACCTAGGTCAGAACTCGCCAGAAGGTGGCCCAAAGAAGATGTAGGTCTTCAAGTGCCATTATATTTGGACTTGGAGGCACCACATATTTCTGCATTTTTAATACTTTTTAGCTGTCTCCTTTAGCGTTATTCCAACTTGCTTGTGTGTTCTTGACGCAGATGTGTTGTGGGACGTGACTTGTCAGGTTTCAGGCACAGAACCGGCTGGCGTCCTGGAGGAGCACTGGACCGATGCGGTGGCAGGTGGCCCGGGTAGCCCCCGCCCTCCCGCCCATCCTGGGACCGCTCTTCCATACTCCAGCTCACCAGGCCACTAACAGCATCACAGCATCCCGGGAGCTGGGGCTGCAGGGGTACCGATCACAGCCTCCCTTCCCTTCCTCACGGGATGCTCTGGGCGCTTGTTGAGTGAGGCTGTTAGGTGAGGAGGACAGCCCTGCAGAGAGGGGGGCCAGTGTGCGCCACCCCTACTGAGCCTCCTGGGTGGTGCCAGTCGTGAATCAGGCCTGATGGCGCTCGGGTGGTGACCCACATCTCCCCTGCGCTGCTGTATGAGGTGCTGCATGGCCGGCGGCCAGTGGGGCCCGGAGTGGCTGCTGCGGCCTCAGTGCGGCTCCTCTCTACACCCGCGGAGCATGAGTGTGTCGGGGCCTGACTCGGGTTTGGCCTCCAGCCGGCGCTCAGGGCACTCGTCTCTCCTCCAAGGCCCGTCAGACCTAGTGAGGGTCCAGCATAGATGGGGGCAGCGAGAGATTTTCACCGTAGTCTCACAAAATGGTTAGATTTTTGCAAAAACAGGATCTCACCTCGGTTCAAGCCATGTTGCGTGTTTTGTGGGTCACTTTGCCCAAGGCGCAGCGGATACAATTACAGAGGGCCACCATGGGGCAGGGGCTCAGCTCAGCAGTTCCTCAGGAACCCACGACGGGTGGGGAGGCTGGTTAGGGGGTCCAGCACTAGCATTAAAATGCTTCCACCCGGAGTGACACGCTCGTGTTCCCTGGGCTGAAGCAGCTGGGCTCACAGTGCCCTCCAGGGGGAAGAAGCCAGAACCTGGGAAGTGAGCCTGCTTGCCCCATGGAGGCTGAGCCTAAAAGGCGTCTTAGGGAGCAGACACCGTGAGTTGGGGGGAGTGGGGGATCCTGTGCCCTGTGCGGGGCCTGCCTGCTGGCCCTGCAGCCCCAGAAGGAAGCACAGCAGCTCCCAGAGCCGCCGCCTGGCCCCCCACCCACGTTGAGCTTGTGTGTCCCCAGCTTTGGCTGGAAGCCTGAGGGTCATATCCTGTGCTCCTCCAAATCTCAGCCAGGTTGTTAGGGGAGGCTGGGTGGACTAGCCTAGGGCCGTACGCAGGAAAGATTCGTGGGGGCCTAAGTGCTGGGGACGTACAAGTGGGGACAAGGGCTTTTATTTGGGGATGCGCTGCTTTCTGTAGCCACCAATTAAAGAATCTCAGGGCTGCCTGAGAGCCTCCAACGCAAGAGAAGCCCCTCTCTGCGTGGAGTGAGCTGTCAGGGCTGCACCCCGGTAAGGGGCGGGTGCTGTCGGGGAAGCAGAGGCTGGAGAGACAGAGGGGCACTTAGGGTTTATTGTGACCAGGTTGTTCCAGAGTTCAGAGCTGCACGTCCAGTACGAGGCGGCACCTTGCGGCTCCAGGTGTCATCATAGGATGAAACACACGGTTTCTAACCCCGTAATTCCCAGACATGGTTGAACACTTAAGAGAAGGTGAGGTTTATTTATTTAGCCCTTTATTTATGGCCCATGAGTTCTTTCAAGTCCTCTCTGGTCTGATGTTTGGGTAGGGATGCCAGTCCCCACTCTTCTGATGTCCTTCATCCCGGATGACGGACAGGACAGTCTCGCTGCCTCTGCGAGGGGCCCGTCCCCACACACTCGGACCAGGGCTCCCCTCAGCGGCCAGGAGACTCACCAGGGTTGGAGGAAGGACCTCTGAGCCACGGCGTCCAAGGCAGGGACGCGCCTCTATTCGTTGACCTCCTCCTCGTCGTCCTCAAAACCTTCCTCGCCCTCGTCGGCCGTGGCGTCCTGGTACTGCTGGTACTCGGACACCAGGTCGTTCATGTTGCTCTCGGCCTCAGTGAACTCCATCTCGTCCATGCCCTCACCCGTGAACCAGTGCAGGAAGGCCTTGCGCCGGAACATGGCCGAGAACTGCTCCGAGATGCGCTTGAACAGCTCCTGGATGGCCGTGCTGTTGCCGATGAAGGTGGCGGCCATCTTCAGGCCGCGCGGCGGGATGTCGCACACGGCCACCTTCACGTTGTTGGGGATCCACTCCACGAAGTAGCTGCTGTTCTTGTTCTGGATGGCCAGCATCTGCTCATCCACCTCCTTCATGGACATGGGGCCCCGGAACACGGCGGCCACGGTCAGGTAGCGGCCGTGGCGGGGGTCACAGGCCGCCATCATATTCTTGGCATCGAACATCTGCTGGGTGAGCTCGGGCACTGTCAGCGCCCGGTACTGCTGGCTGCCACGGGCGGTGAGTGGGGCAAAGCCGGGCATGAAGAAGTGCAGGCGTGGGAAGGGCACCATGTTCACGGCCAGCTTGCGCAAGTCGGCGTTAAGCTGGCCAGGGAAGCGCAGGGAGGTGGTGACCCCGCTCATAGTGGCCGACACCAGGTGGTTGAGGTCCCCGTAGGTGGGCGTGGTCAGTTTCAGTGTGCGGAAGCAGATGTCGTACAGGGCCTCGTTGTCGATGCAGTAGGTCTCGTCCGTGTTCTCCACCAGCTGGTGCACGGAGAGGGTGGCGTTGTAGGGCTCCACCACCGTGTCCGACACCTTAGGAGAGGGCATCACGCTGAAGGTGTTCATGATGCGGTCGGGGTACTCCTCGCGGATCTTGCTGATGAGGAGAGTGCCCATCCCAGAACCGGTGCCGCCGCCCAGCGAGTGGGTCAGCTGGAAGCCCTGCAGGCAGTCGCAGTGCTCGCACTCCTTCCGCACCACGTCCAGGACCGAGTCCACCAGCTCGGCGCCCTCCGTGTAGTGGCCTTTGGCCCAGTTGTTCCCGGCGCCGGTCTGTCCTGGAGTCAAGCAAGAGAGGGGACACGGTTCCGACAGGGCTATGGGGCGGGGGGAGCTGCGCGGGGCCATTAGTACATTTAAAGTGTGTTAGGAAACGATTAGATAATAGAGCGAGGGTTGGGCCCTGGTCCCCCAGCACTGCAGGAGCGTGGGAGGGCAGGCAGCTGCTTCAGACAAGGAAAATCCGCCAGTTTTAAGATGTACGCGTGTTCTGACCTGGTAATTCCATTCTTGTTTTTAAGTAGATAATTCTCCCACAAGGTAAAAGACAAAGAGAACAGAAAGTATACATTAAAAAATAAATTGCTAAAAAAAACCCAAAAAATCAAATTGCTTTCCCCTCTCCTTTGGGCTCTCAGAATTTTGTACTACGCACAAATACTTTCTTTTCGAAACAGTAATACTTTCTCATGTTAATTGGGCTTCTCGTTCATCATCCAGAATTACGGTTGCAAAAGTTTCTGAGCACCCACTATTTTGCACCTGTAATTAAACACCCAGCACAGGAAGTCATTCCTGCCCTCAAATTGCTTCCAGTCAGTCGTAGTAAGATTAACACATGTGAAACTTTGTATTTTTTCCAAGGAGTTCAAGTAACTAGAAAGAGACCTTCTCGTTAGTCTGTTTTGGGTTTTTTGTTTGTTTTAAACAACGGTGCTTTTTCCCCAACATGCTTATTTCTACTTTACTTTATGGAAGAAATTTTTAATCTGAAAGGTTGGCTGATCAATTTAAAATCCTAACTTTCAGTTCACTTCGTTATAAAATGGAAGCTCCATCAGTAGACAAAGCATTTTTTCCAAGCTGTATACACAGGCCTGTGTTTGTTTGAATGGATGCACTTAAAAAGGTCTGGCAAAGAGGACCGGGAGGAACTTATTTTCGTTTTTGTTTGTCTGGACACTGCGCATTTCCTGTAATGCAGTGCTCTTCAGACACCACTGCTCTGTAGCCCTGAAAATATTTAAAAACTACATACCCCAACATTAAGCTGACATCTAACGTCTTCACAAATTCAAATAGTTGCAAATTCAAATAGTTGCAAATGATATTTTAATTTCCGAGGTACTATAAATACTCCCTTTTGAAAACAAACATGTTATACATCATTCTATTAAATGTATCCCACAGAGTCCATGTAAAAATCAGGAACAGGGAATTCCCTGGCGGTCCAGTGGTTAGGGCTTGGCAGATTCACTGCCGTAGCCAGGGTTTGATCCCTGGTCGGGGAACTAAGATCCCACAAGCTGCGCAGCGTGGCCAAAAACAACAACAAAAAAAAAAAAACAGGAATAAATCCTAAGTTGAAATTGATTTAAAAAAAAATTCCTATGATCACAAGGTGTTTAAAATGTCAATAACTGTATTCTTTTCAATTAGTTCATTTATCCAAGTGTGAACATCAGATATTGCCAGAATGAGACAAGGTTTGGCATCCTTTTTTTTTCTTTTTTTTTTTTTTGGCCACACCACACCACACGTGGGATCTTCCCTGACCGGGGATTGAACCTGTGCCCCCTGCAGTGGAAGTGCAGAGTCTTAACCATTGGACAACCGGGGAAGTATTTGGCATCCATTTTATTCCTTTTTCTTTGTTTTTACATATATAAATACTGAGAAGTCTTGTTCACATAAATATGTAAATGGAATCAATTGTATTCTAACAATGTCATTGAATTATTTGATCTTCAGAGTTAAATGCCAAAAATCAAACAGTGTGCTTCCCTGGTGGCGCAGTGGTTGAGAGTCCGCCTGCCGATGCAGGGGACACGGGTTCGTGCCCCGGTCCGGGAGGATCCCACATGCCGTGGAGCGGCTGGGCCCGTGAGCCATGGCCGCTGAGCCTGCGCGTCCGGAGCCTGTGCTCCGCAACTGGAGAGGCCACAACAGTGAGAGGCCCGCATACCACCAAAAAAAAAAAAATCAAATGGTGATCTATCATCAGAAAGTATTTTTAGGGACTTTCCTGGCTATCCCACATGCCACGTGGCACGGCCAAAAAGAAAAAAAAAGTATTTTTAATCATCTTTCAGCCCAAAACTCAATTTTGTGGAAAGCAGAATTGGAAACACCTGACTTGCATCAATCACACTTTCCTTCTGTTGGTCCAAAAGGCTTTGCACCAAGACTTATCTAATGCTTTCAATGAAAGGCTCTTTGTGTGGTCCCGTATACTTAGACAGGGTTGGAAATTTTGAAATCTTAATTCCAACACAACTTTGCAAATATGGTTTTTAACGAAACGTTTTAAATATATTTTTGTCAAAATTTTTAGGTTTAGCAGATTTAGCTTATTCAGGTTGTAAAAACTATTGGCCATGTAACCTAACTGGCAAAGGCAGCCCTCATTATCAGAGCGATTCTGTAGATTGGACTTACTTTCTGTCAGAAAAACATGACTTTAATTTTCAACTCAAATCAATATGTTAATATGCATTTTAAGGAATATTAGAGAAACCACTGGGAACTGAATTCTAGAGCACACTGTAAGGTAAGTTACAAAAAGCAGTAAAATCAAAGTAAATGATGCAGAGATTTAAAGATAAATTAAAAAGACAAGGCACTGCCATTTCTCATTAACTGGTAATTAGGCAGTGTAAGGGCCGCTAAAATGGTCAGCTGTTGAGAAAGCAAGGAAGGCTATTTAAGGCCTTGTATTTCTTCAGTTTGGGTATATCAAATTTGGTTTTGAAAAGAATCATGTATTATAAAAAATTTAAAAATAAATCCATCAGCCCCCTTATCAAACTTTCCCTACATATCGAACAAAAGAGACCACGGTGGTCCCACTGCCGAAGGTGGAGCCGGCAGGGGATTCAGCTGCGTCAGGTGGACTCAGAAGACAAGAGGAGCAGAGGGGCCAAGGCGCTGCTGGCACATGCTGTGCAGACCTCTCCCACCTTATGCCAAAGACACTCCCTTGATTTCTGTCTACACCCACTGGTGGCAACAATTCACCACCACCCCCGTGCACCAATAGGGGAAACAGCTGTGGCAGTGACACAGCCGGGGCTGCCCCTGGAGACCCGCCTAGCACCACAGCAGAAGGAAGGCTCTGGGCGCTTGGGGGCAGGGCCTGTTCTCGGACACCCCCGGATTCTGCAGTTATCCCGGGGGGCGGCCTCACACATGGGGAAGGAGTCTTAGCTCAGATGTCTTTGGATCTTGCACAGCATTCATCAGTGCTAAGCCCTGTGGTGTAAAGTGCAAGTCTGTAAAAGAAGAACCACCGAAATTCTGTGATTCTTCAGTAAGTTTAAGATGTACTGCCTATTAGTGATTCGTATCTTATACCAAGGGAATCCCTTCGGAAGCATCTAAAGAAGTCCTACAAATCCATAAGGACAACGACAGCCTTTAGGAAGAAGGGCAAAGATATAAGCACAGATCGCAGGGAGGGAAGTGCAAGTAACAAATCCATGGCATACTCCTCACGAGGGAAATGCAAACTAAATAAGGTGATTCGGTTACCCTCCACGAAGCTGACAGAGCTCAAAAGCTTGGTAACACCGTGCTGATGGGGGTCTGGGGCAAGGCCCTCCCACACACACTGGAGCCACTGGGGGCATGAGGAGGACGGGCCTCCATAGGGGGCAAGTCAGCGACAAGGATCAAGGTTGGTCCCATTGACTCAGCGAGTCTACCCAAAACGTGCAGAATGACATGTGGACAGAGACTCACCAGGGAGCAGTTTGTAATAGTGAAAAGGTCAAGAGCTAAATATCTATGAGCAGAGGACTGGTGACATCAGCGAGGCCATCGAGCCAGGGGGCAGAGATGGACAGACTCCAGAGGGGCAGCCTTGAGTCCTGCCACGGCCCCTTGGGGCGTTTCCCCCCCAGCAGGTAACTGCATTCTCGCTCGGGAACACAGACTCCCTTTATGGTGAAACCTGACTGGCTGCCTTCTCATATGAGGCTGGAAAACCATCATATCCTTCCTAGGCCCCCACGACTCTCGCACCTCCCCACCAAGCCAGCACGCGCCGGGCCAGCCTCCCGCCTGGAGCTTGGTGAAGAGCAGATGCACCTTCAGCTGCCCCGAGGGACTAAGGATGATTTCACTAAACAGCGTGGAAACCAATGACCGGAGTGCAGTGGGGACACCGGGCGACAGGCAGCCACAGCCAGTGAAGCCCCTTGGCCTTGACCCTCCCCTCCCTCCAGCTCACACCATCCACTTGGCTTCCTCGGTGTTTACAGCATGATCAGCCATGAGGTTTTCTCGGCCATTGACAAAAGAAGGAAGCTGGAGGCTTCTGAAAATATTTTGCCACTGTCTCATAGCAACAGACGTTCCCAGTTAAATATTTGGGGGTCAGGAGTTGAACATCTTCTGCAATAGAGGTTGGGACATTAACCAGTGGCTCCAGATTGTAGAACACGAAACTGCAACAGATCCCAGGAGCCTCAGAGCCCACCCCTGGTTCACCTCCAGCTCACACGGGGTGTGGGGTAAAGCTTAGGGCTACGTGCTCCCGGACTCCCCTCCAGCCCTGAATCTGGAAGAGAAAGTTACACGTACAGAGAGGCCTAAGGTCAACCTTCCTGGTGCTTCGCTTTGTCCCACAAAACTCTCTCCCACTAATAGGCATGACTGCTATGCAACGAGCAGTTTGTTAAGAAAAAACTGGGGTTTTCTAAAGCATATTCATGTTTAAAACTCAAATGCAGAGAACTTCCACTTTTAAAATTACACTTACTTCAAGTCAGTGTTTTTTTTTAAACGACTTCAAACTATATCTGAAAATGGAATGATGCTGTTTTTTTTAATTCACCAACTCTGAAGGCAATGGGGGTGAACCATCTCCATTCACAGGCAACTCGGCCTCTTTTATTAACTGGAGAATGACTTAAAAACAATTGTTGAGCCTAATAGCACACCACAGTGCATTCAGACATTCTGGGTCCTCTCCGTGCCCCATGGCAAACATGTTATTTTCTTAGTTAAAAATAGTGTCAACTTTTAAAAATTTCTATTAAAGCTGTTTCACATCAGTACCATCTTCATTCCCCTAATTTGGCAGAATATCTCTATTAAGGCTGTGAGTACTGCTGTCTGATACAACTTTCTGCAGTGATGGGACTGTCGTATCTTTGCACCGGCCAATATGGCAGCCACTAGCCACACTTGGCTATTGAGCACTGGGTGTGTCGAGTACAACTGAGGAAGCAGCCTGACTTTATTTAACTTCAATTAGATTTAAATAGCCACATGTAGCTAGGGGCTACCATATTGGATGGTAGGATCTTGAAGCATCTTTGCTTGAGGACAATTATGGAAAGTCTAGTTCAGCAAAAGGTAAAGAATATAAATGTCCCCATTTGTAGACTATAAAAATACTGGTAATTTAGATTTTTTGATGTAATAAAAGGGGCACCAGAGACCTTCGTCCTGGTCTATTTGAAATATCAAAGGTGACAAAAACCCTTGAACAAATTATCAGAAGCTTCGCCTGTCCCATTGCCTGTGTAGGTTGTCATTGTGATGGGGAAGGGGATGATACCAAGAGGACTCATAAACTTCGTGAACATGTACCTCGCTGAAGGTATCTTGCTCTACCTTTATAACAGGTCACTGCCTGATTCTAATACAAGGGAATCAATTCATGTACCAATAAAATCTTCCAAGTTTCTGCCTCCTCTTGTACACTTTGAAGTAACCTTGACTCCCAAAACCATGGCTCCAAGGTGAAAGAGGCTGGTCACACTAACAGTGCCACTTCGTTTAATTTTATATAATTTCTTTAGGAGTTTGCAGAGGAACAGGCACTGCCATCATTTTCTGGGTGGAGGAAGGGGGAAGGAAGATTTGCCCAAATCCAACAAAACTAATAAATTCACATGGCACCAACCTTTGGAAAGAAAGCAGAACAACTGTCTATAGATGATGGAAGAAGAAATATAAACACACTGAAGTTAAAAGATGAGCAACATAAAAACCAAAGACAAATTATTACCATATTAGGATAGTCATTTATGAGAGGGAAAAAGAAGTTAATGTCTAAAAGTTTTCAAAATCAAGAACTATCACCAGTAAGCATTTCATTTAGAGAATCAAAGGTTACTTTTCCCCAAGAGGGTACTTTTCTTTTCTTTTTTTTTTTTTTGTGTGGTACGCGGGCCTCTCACTGTTGTGGCCTCTCCCTTGGCGGAGCACAGGCTCCGGACGCGCAGGCTCAGCGGCCATGGCTCACGGGCCCAGCCACTCCGCGGCACGTGGGATCTTCCCGGAACGGGGCACGAACCCGTGCCCCCTGCATCGGCAGGCAGATTCTCAACCACTGCGCCACCAGGGAAGCCCAGAGGGCACTTTTCTTAAAGAAGCTGCCTATGATGGGGCTGGGGACTGCTGATTTCCATTCTAAGCTTTTCTACACCCCGTGATGTTTTTAATCTTGCACCCAAATTAGCTGGATGTTTAAAAAATAAAAAAGAGGGGGCTTCCCTGGTGGCGCAGTGGTTGAGAGTCTGCCTGCCAATGCAGGGGACACGGGTTCGTGCCCCGGTCTGGGAAGATCCCACATGCCGTGGAGCGGCTGGGCCCGTGAGCCATGGCCGCTGAGCCTGCGCGTACCGCAAAATAAATAAATAAATAAATAAATAAATAAACAAATAAGAGGAAGAAGAAAGCAGGAAAGACAGAACCTACCGAAGATGAAGTTGTCAGGCCGGAAGAGCTGCCCGAAAGGCCCAGACCGCACACTGTCCATGGTGCCCGGCTCCAAGTCCACCAGGGCGGCCCTGGGCACATACTTCTGAGCTGGAAGAGAACAGAGCCCACCCACAAGGGTCAGTCTCTGGTTCCTAAGGCAATGGACTTCCCGGGAGCAAGTCCCACCAGCACAGCCGCCTGAGATGTACAGAACGGGCTTTCTTAGAGTCACAGAATCTCAGCCCTGGGGGAGGGGAGCCCCAGAGAACACAGTGCACCGTGGACTTGTCCGGATGAGGAAGCCAGCCCGGCACAGGGCACAGGAAGTTCCTGGAAAAGGCAGGATGAGAAACGAGGTCTCCCGACCTCCTGCCGCCTGTATTTTCCAGTTCTTACCCGTGGGCAGTTCTACTTTTTAGCTCCACGGAAATCGTACTTGCTGCAGCGAGTGGCAGAGCTGCTGGGACACTTTGGCACCTCCCTCCCTCACACGCACGTGAACCCACGAGCGAGTCTGAGCACCTGTTCCAGGTGCGCCCACGGCTGTTTCCCGGGAGACTGTCGCATTTATGGACAAGTGTGGCCGTGTGCCGTTTCATCTGTAAGCACATGCTCACACCAGCTGGGCAAGAAACTGTCCCCATGAGGGTGGGGTCACTAGGACTGCATTGGGAACTGCTCTACAACCCATCCTGCTACGCACACACCCAAGCTGAAGAAAGAATGTCACCAGGCTAGGCCTGAGGGTGACCAGCAAGTGCCATGCATATTGCCCTCTTCTCAGTTCCATCCAGGAATCTCACCATCCGTGTCCTGCTGTTCCAGACCTTTTTAAAACCCAGTAATTTATGTGTCCTGTTCTTCCCAGCTCTCATGTGGACAAGCAGTAGTAACTCCAAAGACAGAGCGTGATTATCTCTGGGGCCGGGGACACATGTGTATGGAAGGGCAGCTCCTGTCACTTCCTGGGTGTTCTTTCAATGTCTTAGTTTTATGTTGTCTTGTGAAGGGCATGTATTACTTTTATAATAAACGTTGTTACAAAAATAAAGTATAATGTAACCACCATATAGATGTAGCTACCCAGGACAAGGGTGATACTATTCTCAAACTTGGATAAACCACAACCTGTAATTTTTACTAAACTCCACCAGATAATGACGCTCTCTGTCTGTAGTTGCAGCTTGCAGGGGATGTAAAGTCTTTTTGGAGGTCTGCAAAGGGCCAGAAAAATCATTTGAGGGAGTGTTTTTCAAAGTTTTAGCCAAAAACTTTCATTAAGAAATAAAATTTTAGGGCTTCCCTGGTGGCGCAGTGGTTGAGAGTCTGCCTGCCAATGCAGGGGACGTGGGTTCGTGCCCCGGTCTGGGAAGATCCCACATGTCGCGGAGCGGCTGGGCCCATGAGCCACGGCCGCTGAGCCTGCGCGTCCGGAGCCTGTGCTCCGCAACGGGAGAGGCCACAGCAGTGAGAGGCCTGAGTACCGCAAAAAAAAAAAAAAAAAAAAAAAAAAAAAAAAAAAGAAATAAAATTTTAAAAGATAAAATAAATTTTAATAAGAGCCGGACATGACCCACTAAGCTGATATCACAGCAGCAGCGGGTCCGCTTCAAGAGCTCAGACCCGCCGGGGAGGACGAGATGCTGTTTGAAATCAACCGACATCGGATTTCCCGCCCCGAGCGAGGGAGGAGCCCGGCGTCCAGCTACAGCTGGGAGGATTTTTCCAGGGTGAGCCACCCACGCGCCGGGCGGCCCCGCGTGTTGGGGAGGGGGAGCATGGCCGGGGTCCCACAGGGCGATGCCGGGGTCCCAGAGAGGGATGGCCGGGGATGGGGGAAGGGCGGGGTCGCGCCGCGCCACTCACACGATGACTCATTGTAGTAGACGTTGATCCTCTCCAGTTGCAGCGTCGAGTCACCCACGTAGCCTCCAGCAGGGTCGATGCCATGTTCGTCGCTGATCACTTCCCAAAACTTGCAAAGGGCGGGGCGGAGGACAGACGGTCAGCCCGGGGCCCTGGCACCCGCGGCTCCCCTAGGGCCGGCCCGGTAGGCGGGCGGCGCGCGGGGAGCGGCCGCAGAATTCCAGGCGCGCCTGAGCTGCCAGCGGGCGCTCCGGGGCCGCGGGGACGGGGAGCGGGCCCGGGTCCCGCGGTGACGTCCCCCTCGGCCGCGCCGGTCCTCCCGCGCTGCCCCGGCCCGAGGGATTAGGGAGGGGCGGGCCGCCCACCCGCAGGGAGCCCGGCCCGGCCCGCGCCCACCTTGGTGCCGATCTGGTTCCCGCACTGGCCCGCTTGGATGTGCACGATCTCCCTCATGGCGCGAGCTCGGCGCTCGCTGCTCGGACAGCTCGGCGACTGCGGGCCCAGCCGCTCGGCGCCCTGGACTCGGCGCCAGCCGCCCCTCCCCGACCCTCCCCCAGCCGCCCTGGCCAATGGCCGGGCCCGCCCCCCCGGCCGCGCCCCCTCCTCCCCCGCCCCCCGTGCGCCCTCCCCCATCTCCCCGGGCCAGGCCGGGTCTTCCCAGCATCCGCCTCACACCCCCTCGACCCCGCGGTCCTTGCGCCTTCCCCCTACCCCCACCCCGGGCCCCCAGCGGTCTGTGCGCCTCCCTCCGCTCCTCCCCGCAGCCTGCGCGCCGGAGCCCAAGGCCCGTTCTTCCCGGGCCGCCTCGACCCTGCGCGGTCCCAGAAGGGAGAACAGACCGGGGACAGTGAAGGGACCCCTGCTGGGGGGCCGGTCCGGGAAAGAGCCGGTCCTTGGGGCGCCCACCCGAGTGGGTCGGGGCGGAGACGCAGCGGGCGGGCGGCGGACGGGAAGGACAAGCTCGCTCCCCACCCCTTCGCTGCCCCGCGCGGAGGGAAACCGGAGACCCCTCGCGGGTTCCCGGACCGCAGGCCTAGGGGTGCTTATGGTTCCCGCCCGCCACGGGTTCAAACCCAGCGTGTAGAGGGCTGTGGGACACGGGAGTGGAGTTTTCGGGGCGACTCTGACCCCCGCCCCCCGACTCAGGCTCCGGCACGGGTTCTTACGTCTCCGCCCTACTGTATCTCCGTCTCGAAATACAGGTGCCCTTCGGTTCTGAGCACTTGGAACAGTGTGTGATGGAGTTTGATTAAAGTGAACACATGGCTGGACCTGAAAACGAACACACACACACACACACACACACACACCCTGCACAGTTTACGCAGACACACACACACACACACACACACACACACACACACACACACCCTGCACAGTTTACGCAGCCTCTCCATCCGTAATCTGGGAGGAAAGGCTCTTTGTCGGCCCTGGAAGGGGCAGGGGTCTGGGCTGTCCGCCTGGTTCCCTCACTTTCCCCATCGCTGGGTCGGGGCCTCCCTTGCTGTTGGGAGGGGGTGTGGACGCGGATCTCCTGCGTGTGAATAAGTGCGAAGCTGGAGGAGGGAGGAAACTTCAATCTTATGGAGCTCGTGTGTCTTCTCTCCGCTGGGGCCACGGAAAGTCGGGGATTCCCTGTGGAATGAGCTAAGCCCTCCCCCGGCCCAGGAGACAGTTCTGCTGTGCAAAGCTTGGTTTCCTGTTCCTTTTACAAGGTGCAGCCCAACCTTTCTGAACCCCCGCCCTCCCCTTCCCCAGTGTTTGCCCACAGCCCCTCCAGCAGGTAAACAGTCTTTACTCCTTAGCTGCTGGCATTAGGGTTCTGGGTCCCCCACCCTACCTTCTCAGTGGTCCTCAACCCGCAGGGGCTGTCACCCCAGCAGCCTGGGCCCCCGCTGCCAGCCTCCCAGGGGCACGGCTCCACCTGACACCCAGGATTCTCCAGGCCACTCCTGTGGGCAGCCCAGCTGGCCAGGCGGGGCTCACAGGTATTTCTGTGCCACAAATGTCTCCTGTGTGCCACGCGTGTGTGTGTGCGTGGTTTGAAAGAAGTGGAGAACTTAAAATGTTTTCTTCTGGAGTTTTTCAAACGTTCCCAATTTCAGGGGTCAGTTTCTTTAACCTTAAGATCCCTGCCCTGTCCCCCTCCCCCTCCCCTGCAATGCTGCTCCTCTGCCTTCCTGTAGGTTCCCATACCTCTCTTTACACACAGGGCACCTGGGGAAGCAGGTTAGGGGGCACAGCCCTGCCCATGCCCCCAGTCAGGACCCGAGACAACCCAGCAAGCACCCTTGCTTAGCCATCGCTCAATTTAATTATTGACTCCAAAGAAATGTTCCCTTTATCTGTGTGCTGGTGCTGAGTCTGGTGCAGGGAGTGGAGGGAGGGCCTGTGGTTCCTGGAAGAGCCTGGTCGCTCAGTCCCTGCGGAATCAAGCCCCTGAGTAAAGAGAAGTGCCCACGTCAGCAGCTCCAGTGCTTTGTGGAAATGGCCACCTCACCAAAGCTAGTCCTTGGGTGGAATTTGAGTCCAAAGTGTTCACTGGAGCCAGAGAATAGGTGTCGGCATGGCCTCAGGGACACCTGGATTTGATGGGGGGGAGGCTGATTTACTGGAGTTTCTGATGGGCTCTCCCTGCTGACCAGGGGCACAGCCTGCCCCCTGCACCATGAGGGGGGAGGGGGAGGTGACGAGGACTCAGTGCTAGACGCTTTTGTACAGAATCTGCACGCCACCCCTCCAAGTTTAGGTGTCACTGCCGCTAAGGCAGGTGGGAGTGAAAGGGTCCCCTGCTCCTAACATGGACGGGGCCCAAGCAAGGGCACAGGCAGGCTAAAGACACAGCAGCTACAAATCAGGCTTGCGGAAACCATTCCTGCGTCCCATGCGGGAAGCATCTCCTGTGCACACCAGCCCTCGGTCCATCTCTTCTCCCCCCACAACTATGGCCATCCCTGGGCCACATTCTGTGTCACAGTCACTAGTGGGAGGAGGGGGCCCTGAAGCAAGCTCAGGGATGTCTGGGCAGGGAGTCCTGAGGTCCCGGTGGCCCCAAGTGGGAGGGGCACCACCCAGGGCCCCGTCTGGACGGAGTTCTGGGTCCTCACCTCCTGTCTGCTCGCTTTCCACCTCCCACAGCCCCTCGCCCTGCCCTGTTTCCTCCATGGTCACCACGCGGGGTAAGGACCTGGGGCCACTGCCCAGGTCTGGATATAGGTGGGAAAAAGCCCCCCAACCCTGGGGACAGGTCTCACTGCTCCCTGCCCGTGTCTGAAAGTCGTGGTGATGGGGAGGTAGGTTCCATCCTGTCCTCTCCAAATCCTGAGGAGCCCCTGGAGAAAGACCCCAAGGGACCAGGTCAAGCTCTGGGACCAGGCTGGTGATAGCCACCTGTGGCCTTATTTGCAGCTAAAACCCTAGGTTTTGACAAGTGTAATGACATGGGACCATTGTGCTTCTATGTGATGTGACTCTTGGTGGACAAAGGACGGTGCTTGGGATGGGAGTGGCTGTCCACCCGTGCTCTGTCAGGCAGGGGCAGGTGCTGGGACCGGGAGTGGAGGCTGGGCAGTGCCGTGGAGCGGGGCCAGGGGGGTGGGGTGTCGATTCCTGGGACGAGCGGGAAGGGGCCACCGAGTGCCGAGTGCCGAGGCTCTGAGCTGACTCTTGGGCTTTTCCACCATCTGCACCTTCAACAAAGCCATTTTGAAGCTGTCAAAGCTCCCTCCCTGGAAGTTCTGCAAAGGGGAGCTCAGGTCCTGCTCATCTAGCAAGTGGGCCCTGGGCCCGTGTCCGTGGAGCCTGAATGTGGCTGGTGGGTCCACCTGAGGGTCCTGGTTACGAGTGGAACCTGCAGACCTATTATATACTGGGCCCCGTCGTGCTGTCTAGGAAAGTAAATTTTCTTGGGTTCTAATTCTTTGGAAAAGTCGTATTTCATATATAGTATTTAAACAAATATTTGACCAACCAGAACACCAGGCTCACAGGCCAAGTGGATGTGAGAGGAACACTTATTCCAGAGGCCCAGGGGCTGCGGCCCTGCCCAGTGCGAGGCCCTCGGAGGTCAGGGCCTGACTGCATCCCTCACGTGATCACGGCCGGGCCAGAGACCCAGACCCTGTAACACAGGGTCACAGAGCACCTAATGCTCGGGATGGTGTGCGGGTTAGACCGTTCGGCCCTCTGCCCGATGAGCTGCCCTCTGCCTCATGGATTTCAGTTATTCCATTGAAAAATGAGACCAGCCTTTCCAGGCTCAGCATCTCAAACAGCTGCAACCACCTCGAGTTTTACTTTATGATGAAGAGCCTCCCTTTCTCAACAGGGAAGGTGGCCAGAGTGGGGGCCTCCGGGGGGGCTGCCTTGCTGGCTGAGCAAGCCACGGGGTGCAGGGCCTTTTATTTCTGTGTAAATCTGATTACAGAAGATCTGGGAAACTCGAAGAGAGTTCAGAATAAAGCCACAAAGATTGTTCAGGATTTTAAAAAGATGAAGGGAGGGGAAAGAACCGCGACGGAGAGACAGCGGCCCTGATGGGATCCAAGTGCTGCGGTTGTTTTCATCTCCAACAGGCCTTTGGAGAACAGGTGTGGAGCGTGGAGCATGTCTAACCGATGTTATTTTAAGTGTGATAATGAGATGTCGGGGGTACAGGCAGCCTGCTTTCACGCGCTTCATAGGAAGGGTGGGTGTGTGTGCTCAGAGGGGAAGAAATGTGGCTGAGTGTTCACACAGCCCAGCCCAGACAAGGTGTGGGCGTGCATTTTGCTTCGGGATTGTTCTTTGAACTCTCCCGTCGGTTTGGAAACTGCAAATGAAATTGTGGTGGTGGAGGATGAACTGAAGGATTTAGCCGGCCAGTGGGGAGCACAGCCAGCCGGCAACAGTCCCAGGGCTCTCTAGGTGATGGCGTGGTGATGGGCTTTGCTTCCTGACTGGGGACAGAGAGGGTCAGAGGAGTGTGGAGTGGCCGGAGGCCAGGATGGCAGCTCCCAGGGACAAGGAGGATGTCCCCGAAGGGCTTCCAAAGGCTGGAGGTCTTCAAAACCAGGGCAGGTTCCCTTGGTCCACAGGAGCCAAGTGTGTATGGGGATGGCATGTGAATCCCTATTCCTTCCATGATGGTTACCAGGCAGCTGGGGACACAGCTCCTTCGGGTCCAACCCAACCCACCAGCGTGAGCTGTGTGTCTGTCCTGTGCCGGCATTGTGCTGGCTGGGATGCAGTCAACAGCCAGGCTGCCCAACTAGTAGGACAACTGGACATCAAAGGAGGCCGGGCTCTCGCTCGCAGCTCTGCCCGCCCCACCTGCCTCTGTGTTGGGTTCATCCGGACGGTGGTGAACAGGTGACAGGCACCCCCCCACACACACACCCCACCTCGGCCGATCTTGTGCAGGGTTGGGAACAAAAGTACAACTCCGTTTTCTGTGCCTTTTCTAGACAAGAGTCCAGACAGGGTGGGATGTGTGATGGTAAACCCATGGAGGGCCAGAGGAAGGCCACACAGAGGGTGACTGCAGCCTGTTTTGTTCTACGCGCGTGCCGGAAGTGAATTGAAACTCTGAGGAGATGCTCAACCCTGCCTCCTGGAAGCTCGAGATTCAGACAAGTCAGTCTCCTCATTTGCAGGTGAGTGAGTAGGACCAGACTGTCTTTAAATTCCCTGCCAGCTCTCACATCCTACGACTGATCAACACCCATCCTAAGTTACATCAGACAAAACCCAGCTCACCTAAAATGCAATCTGATAGTCCTGAGTCATCTGTTTTTAAGGAAGTAGTGAGCATGTATCCAGGAAGTGCACAATGAAGAAGAAATTCATGTATAAAGCTGTCTAGAAAATCAAATTTATAACAGATGTGATCGGATGGTAACAGAATTGTTACCACGTTCTGTAGCAAAGAGGAACAATGTCTCACCCGTAACGAACCCAATGGCTTTCACCAGCCAAGCCTCACCCTCTGCATTCCTTATTTTCCGAAACGTGGAGTCAGCTCCATCCTGACCACTTTCTCTGATCCCCAGCTTCAGCTTCTTGTAAAAGGATGGGCTCTGAATGGGGTGACAGAACCATGGGATCTGGTCCCCCGTGACCACCTGACAAGCTGTGTGACCACGGAGCCCGTTTCTCCCTCTGCAGCACATGGGGGTCAAGGGCTCTGCAGCCAGGTGTCCAGAGCTTCCCCCCACCCCGGCCCCTTATCTCAAACACACAGGCAGGGTGTGCGGGGCTGGGGCAGAGGCAGCAGCCATCAGTGAGGAGGGTGGAAGGGACACAGTGCTGGATGGGGTGGGGGTCCGGGGACCGCCAACTGAGACCAGCTCTGGAGGGTTCCCATCAGGGGCTGGGGAAGGGGAGGTGAGGAGACACGACTTCACCAGGGTTTTTTAAACGAGCTGAGGTCCAGCAGCTTTCGGGACTGGCCTTGGGCAGGTAATATTTTTAAATATAGTCTTTATATTATTTTCCCATTAAAAACCAAAGATGGGGCTTCCCTGGTGGCACAGCGGTTAAGAATCCGCCTGACAATGCAGGGGACACGGGTTCGAGCCCTGGTCCTGAAAGATCCCACATGCCACGGAGCAACTAAGCCCATGCGCCACAACTACTGAGCCTGCGCTCTAGAGCCCGCGAGCCACAACTACTGAAGCTTGCGTGCCTAGACCCCGCGCATTGCAACAAAGAGTAACCCCCGCTCGCCATAACTAGAGAAAGCCCGCGCGCGGCAACAAAGACCCAACACAGCCAAATAAATAAATAAATAAATAAATAAAACAACTAAATGATGAGTTTTGCAAGATATGAAGTCCTGGAGATCTGTACCCAAAAATGTGGACACCACTGAACTGAACACTTAAAAACGGCCACAATGGTGCATTTCAGGTGATGTGCTTTTTACCACAATTTTTAAAAAGGAGAGTAATAGACAAGCTTCAGAAAAGTTGGAAAAGACTGAAAACTTACAAAAGACAACATCCAACACCCAAACATCATTAATTAATTAATAACATTTGGACACACTTCCTGCTGTCTTTTCTTAACCCTGATGTCCCTCCCTCTAAGAGGAAGGCCTCTGCGGGGACTGCAGGCCAGACCCCATCCAGGTAGAGGTGGCCCGGGAGCCGCAGGACGGCACCCAGCTGAGGGGGGGTGGGGGGGGAATGGGCGGTGCTCTCCTACTGGCTCTGCCCAGCATGCCTCCCCTTGCTATTTCATCCGCACCCCCCGCAGGAGAGCTGCAGTGTTCTCTGTCCCCTTCTCTGTGACTTCTGCTGTGTCCTCTCCTTGGGGACATTGGGGCACATAACTCACCACTAAGAAAGGTCAGTGCCACGGGGAGTCTGAGGTCAGGCAGGTGGGCTTCATTTCGGCTCTGCCGCAGGGAGACGTGGGCTGTAATTGCAGCCCCGCACGGTGGCTGGGCATATTGTGGGGGGATATGGAAAGTCTTCTTTCTCTCTTGGCGCCCCGTACAGAGCAGGTGCTCGGCATGTGCGGTTGGTACCCCATAAACACACATCTCCATCCCGGGTTGTAGCAGGCAACCTTGCTTGCTTGCTTGAGACCGCTGGGCTCTAAAAAATTAAGGGTACATTAAGCAGAATAGAAATTGATCTAAGTGATTATGTGATTTGGAAGGTAGTTGTTTTTGTGTGTGTGTGTATGATGGAGAAATATATACTCAGCCACCTTTTATTTAAAATCAAATATTGACTTAGTTGATAGAACAAACAGTAAGTTCCACCTTTTAGTCAGGAAAGAGAGAAGAGGGCAGGAGGAGAAAAGGGGAGAGGGACACAGAGAGGGGCAAACAGAGCGCCATGCTGAAGCGGGTGAGAAGTACAGGGAAAATTGGCCGTGCGTTTCCCCGGGAACCGTCCCCGGGACCTTGCCTGGCCCTCAGACCTGCTCACTGGCACCAAGGCTGCTAAGGTCAGCAGCTGGGTCCCACCTGCTCCCGTCATAGGATACTGTTTAAGTCTTCAGTGATGATTCATTGATTTATTCCCTGTTTTATTCAACAGTCCTTACTGCGTCCTGGACAGCGTTAGGTCCTGACTATAATCCTCGCGAGGTTTAGCAACGTCTGCAACAGACGAAAAATAACATTTATGCTAATGTGATGTGCTGGAACAAATAGTGATCGCCGTCATGCTTACTATTTTCATGTTAATATTAAGGAAGCAGGTTGCCCCTGAGTGTGTGAGAGTGCAGGCTTGTGGAAACGGCTGAAGGAGAATTCCACAGGACATGTTTGCACAGGCATAGCTGACCCCCAGGAAAGCACGGGCAGGGCTGGCTGGCTGGCCGAACCAACGAGTCCTAGCAAGACGTGGGATCTGCCATCTAGGCTGGGAGCCTTGGGTACTGACTTCTAGGCTGGAGGGCGGAGAAGCCACTGATGCAACCGGCCTTAGGGCAAAAGCCCTGGACCTGCAGCTTGGAGCTGAGCTGTGCACCAGAGAGGTGGGGTTTCCTGGGACACCCGAGCCCCAGGGGACGCCCCGCCTGCACATCCAGAGGTTGATTGGTAGTTTCCAGTGCCTTGTGGGTGATGAATCCCGTGAGCGTTGATATACATGCCAGGGTACATTTTTTGTGATATGTTATAGGCCAGAACTTGTGTCCACTGATTAGTTATCCTTGTCTTTGCTTTGCAATATCATTCGTGGAAAAGATTTAATTTTGCTTGTCCCTGCTCTAAACTCTGTCCTTTGGTTCCAGTCACGGAACTTTGTTTCCCTGTGGTTTGGACACTGCTGTGGGTCCCTGGCCCCAGCCTTCCTAGGAGCTGGAGCCTCTCCCTGGGCAGCCCCCACTTCTTGTTTCCTGCTCTCCTTGGCCACCGCCTCTCCCTGCCGTATCTCCTGCTTGGACCTTGGACCCCTGACAACAATCTCTGTCCACCTTGGGGACTCCCCCTCCCCTTCCTGTAAGAGACCCTCAAGTCACCTCCTCACCTCCCCCCGGCGCTTACACCTTGCCTGCCCCTCCCCTGCACATCTCTGGATCTTTTGGACCTGATCATCTTTTTTTCCAGCCCTTCTTTTCACCCACTGGCCTGTTGTGTAAGGAGAAGCTTCCAGGAAAGATATTTAAAGCTATGTTGTACTTTCACAGCTAAAAGCACAAATGGGAATGTTTGTCTTTTTGCTACATAAACCTGTAGATTGGATTAAATAAGTTAATCTGCATCATTGCCACCTGCAGGTGCAATGCTCTGATGGGCCCTTTTTCTGGTCCCAGATTCCAGTTGGATGTGAAACACCGAGTAGGTATGTCAGGGCTGAGCTCTCGTCTGCTCCCCGCCCCATGTCTTCACCAACCGCACACCATGCGCCCACCAACCTGCCAGGTGCCCAGGTGCCCAGGCATTCCACGTTTAGAAGTCTTGCCTCCTGGGCTGGGTTATAAATTCCTCAAGTTGGAGACTAGACTTCCTGCGTGTTGCCTGTAATACTCAGCACATGACTTAACATGCAACTGCACTAAGTGATTGTGAAGGAAGAAAAGAGGCACAGAATTCACAGCCTTGAAGGACTTTCCTTTTCTGAAAGGAGGACCCAGAATATTACAATGGGAAATGAAGAAGAATTGTATAATGCCTCCCTAAACAAAGAGGTTTCCACCAGGGTTTTGTTCGAGTTAAATATAAATTCAGGTGGTGCTTTTAAAAGAGTCAGAATCATTCCCAGCTGATTATGATCCTCCAGGTGTTTGCCCGAACTGCTTTCCCACCTCTCCTGCTGGTTTGTGTCTGGTCCTGACTGCTCCCTGCAGGGGTGGTGGGCATGGAGAGCAGGTGGGGAGTGGTCCGGCGTGCCTTCCCTCTTCGGAGGCTCTGGGCTGGGCGGCTTTCTCTGCTAACAGCCTTGCTGGGAAGGTGCCTGAGATAAGGTACGTAGTACCAACGCGAAGCCGTGTGAATTCTTCTCCTTCTTCCCCACAAGACAGCCATGGCTTTTTGGAGAGTCAGATGCAGCTCAGGCCAAGCCTGCCCTCCAGCTGTCTCAGCTGTTGCCAGGAATGCAGTGGGTGGCGGCAGCGCCCGCGCCCACAGGCCTCTCTGGCCCCAGATTCAGAAAACATCCCACCCACGCCCATGGCTCAGCTCACCCCGATTCTATAGCCCTTCCCTCCTAAATCTATGTGTGACCAACTCCCAGATACCTGCCACGTGGCTCACTCATCCTTTCCAGGGAGAAACAGAGGGTCCCAGGGCCAGGAGGGGGCCTGGTCCTTCCGCGATGTGTTCACCCACCGTCCTCTCCAGGCAGGTACCCACTGCACCTTCACAGGTGAGAAAACCAAGTAAACCATCGAGCCACACGTTTCGACCCCAGCTTCTTTTATTTTTTAAATTCATTTGATTGGGGTAAGAACACTGAACATGAGGCCGACCCTCCCCCAGTTCTCAGGTGTGAGCTGTATGACTGTTGACTCAGGTACAACCAGCAGCCACCAGACGTCCTCACCTGACTTCACTGAACCCGTAACCCACCGCCTAGACCCTGGCTTCCTGAGCAGGAGACAGGCCGGGGCTCTGCAGCTCTGCCTATATGACCTGTTTCAGCTGCAGTGGGATTGACTAGAAACTGATGAACAGGAGAACCGCTGTGTCGGATGCTCATTCCAGGGAGAGCTGGGGTGTTGCAAGACTTTTCTGTTGGGTGAGACTTTCCCACCCCCCGCCCCCGTCCCTGCCTTCCGATGCAGCTGCCCCGATGCCTTCACTGAGGCCCCCCACCCCCCCAAATCTGGCTTCCGCTCAACACAACAGCTGGAGAAGTGGCACCTCGAGGCCCCCGACTATTTTTATGTGGCCATCTGCCTCCTGGACAGGCCTGGCCGGCCTCAGCAGGCCTGAGGAATCCCACAGCAGGTGGTGACAGCTGGACAGCTGGGCACACCGGCCCTGCCCTTGACCGTTCTGGGGATGCTGGAAATGTGGCCTGAGGACACGGAGAGGAAAAAGGATGCCTTTACCTGTCGCAGCTCAGGGCGACGTGGTGCCCGGCTTCCTCTCCATCTCTGGAGCCCTGAGGCCAGCCCTGCTCTGTCTGCCGTCACCGGGGTCTGGGTGGTGGGCTGGGAGGGGAGCCCCCAGGCGTGCGGGTCGGAAGCTCTGGCCAGCTGCGGGCCTCACTGCACAGAAGGGAGGGCGCAGCGCCCAGAGAAAGCACTGGGCTCCTGCTGGTGACGAGGCCCCGGGATCCCTGCCGCAGACTGAAAACTGCTAGAGCAAAATATAGCTCCTTTGTAGAAACTACGATCATCAATCATCGGAGAAAGGAACCCGCATCCCCAGAGAGGAAGATGGCAGAAAGGAGAGAGGAAACGTCCAGAGTGTCCTTTTTGCACACAATTTATTCATCACACAGGAGCGGGAGACAGGAGGCCCATGGGCGGATGCAGGCTGTTGTGGAGGAGCTCGTTCAGAAACTCCCAGACTCTAAGCCGTCCTTCTTCTGACTGTAACCCGCTTCTAAGACCCCTGTCCGTTCCACATTCTCCTCCTGCTTAATCCCCCTTAGAACAGGCCAGGGAGCCCCTGGACGCAGTAAGGAAAGGGGGAAAGGGCGCTGAGTCAGAGAGAGGGCTGAGTCAAGGCATCAGGGCACTGAGGGAAAATTCCTTTTTTGGAAGCCGGGCCGCCCCTCTCCAGGAGGCCAAATCCCTGGGAAGTGATGCAGCCCTTGGTCAGTGAGAGGCAGGAGCCGCCCAGCGGAAGGTGCCGGAAAGCCATTTCCGTCCTCCTCCCTCGCTCGGGAAGGGCTTCCAGCCGAGCTCCTTGTAAGGGAAGCGCTCACAGCAGAGCCCGCGGAGCCGGTGGCAGCACCACCCACCTCTGCCAACCTCCCCCCCACCCCCCGCTGCATTTCCCCCAGAAGCCGAGCAGGAGGGGAAGGGGGCCCTGAGATGCCTTTTTTATTTTGCTCTGTTTGAAAAAGAGGCTGTGCTCTGAGGAATGCGGCTGCAATTCCTTTACTTCTGCCCCTCCTGCCTGCGGTCCTGGGCTCCCAGCCCTGCTGCTGGGCGTGTGAAGCAGGGAATGGGTGGGAGTCAGGTCGGCATAGCAGGGGTCCGAGGGGATCCAGGCTGTGATGGGGGCGGGGGCGGGGGAGCACGAGTCCGGGCCCAGGGGTCTGACTGCAGGCGGTTCTGTGCTTCTGGGACAAGTTGTGGTGTCTCCCACTGTCCTGGGTTGTCAGCCAGGAAGGGGACAGGACTCTGTGGCAGCGTTTCTTAGGAGGAAAACCACAGATCCGAATGGCACCTGGCTCCTGCGGGTCTCCTAGTCTAGCAGCAGCGCCCCGTTTCCCCCCGGGAGCCGCACTGCCCCCTCCCGAGCCGTGTGGTCGGGCTCAGCCCGCATCCCTCGTGGCCTGGGGTCCCGCCTGACTCGGCCACGCCCGCCCTGCATCAGGCCCCACTTTGGAGCAGCTTTGTTTTAAGGAAAGGTTGCCAGCGCGGCTTGATCACCTCCAAAAATTCAGATCCACAGGCTTTCAGGTCACTGGGCTCATTCAGGACCGACATAAAACCCCACAGTAACATCTGACCCTCCTGTCTCCTGACAGACTTAAAAGTGATTGCACGTGTTAGCAGAGCATCTCTGGCTGAGTTTTGCTTCTGTGAGGTGTGCTTTTCTGACATGAAGAAGACAGGAGGAAGAAGTGCGGTATCACAGCGACTCTCTTGACTGGTTTATTGTGGAGCCGCAGGCCTCATGCTGCCCGCGTCCCCCCACCCCATCCCCACCCAGGGGGCCTCCACCGCCTGGCCCCTGGCAGTGCCCTCAGGCCCCTTTTCTTTCCTGAGCAGGGGACACGTGGTGGGAACACAGCGTCTTCCGAATGCGTCCCTGGAGAGGGACCTGCGGGGTTGAGGTCAGCGGAGACTCTGCACTGTGCACCCCTATCCACTCGTGATCCCCCGGCGAGGGCGCGGGCTGGGCACCGCCCGCTCCTCTGTGTCAGCCAGCACTCGGAGCATGTAGGTGCCCGTGTGGACGAGACACTGACCGGTCATTTGGGCGGTGTGAGACAGGAACAACAGCAGGCTCCTGCAAGAGATGGGGCGGTCGGGCGGGGTGGCGGTCCAGCCTGTGGGGCAGAGGACAGGGGTTCCCCACTCCCACCCCCACATGCGCTCAGGGCCACACAGCCCACATCCCAGCACTTTCCGGTCCCAGCTCCCAGGGCACAGCCCCCCATCGCTGAGATGCGGGCGCCGGTTCTGGAGGTCTGGGTGGGACCTGGGACTCTGCGTTTCCAGCAGCTCCCCTGCCACTGGCCTTGGACCACTCATCCCCTGGCCTCTCCCGAATGTGGCCTGTCACAAAGTCACTGGAACATGCTGAGTGGGCGGCCCAGGCAGCACAGGCTCTGTCCTCCTTTGGCCGCTTGCTAACCCTGGCGGCCTTGCCGGGGCTGTGGAGCTTGTTGCTGAACTCAGTTGAGTCGGGGTGAAAGGAACCCCAGGCTGGAGGGGACTCAACACACCTGCCGTTGTGACCCTGTGACCCAGTTCGCTTAGGGCGGACAGGACACCCCGACTCGACCCTGGGCATCTGAGCCCAAGGCTGACCTGGCATTCGTGTTGTTTCAGACTAAAAAATAGCTCTAACTCAAATTCTTATCCTCTACCAAGTCCAAAGCTGAGGAATTCCACGCATTTTAAGGTCCGTCCCTTCACAAGGAACCAGGGGCTCGACCGCACTGGTAGGGGGACCTCCATTTCTGGCGTCCCCGCGGGGCCTGGCCGGCAAAGCCTCATATCTGGGTGCCTCCTGCAGCTGCTCGCACCACCCTCAGATCCACCAGACGGTGAGAATCAGTGACAAGAAGGCTGGGTCGTCTCTCGGGAAAGATTTTGCTTAGGTGGGTTCACTTTCTTTACACTTATCTAAGTTGTTGTAACTCTCCCGTCTCACTTGAAAACTCAAGCAATCAAGCTGTTCTTTCCTGTCTCAGCAAAAAGAGGAAGATCACTGGGGAATGGGGGGCGGCGGTCCAGATTCCAGCAGCAGGACAGTAACTGTTGTCTGGGACTGGGCCTCGGTGACTCTGGGTGGGAAAGGAGGCCAAAGGAAGCCACCGTCTGCCCGCATGACCATGTACTGGGCGTGCAGCCCCGTCAGAAGGACCAGCCTCATTTCCATAATGAGGAAAGCCTCGTTCCCTGCCCATACTACCCTGCCCCATGCTTCCCTCAGGGAAGCCGTCCTGGGACAGCGGAAGGAGGGGACCAGCGCCCCAGAGAAACAGGCAGGCCCTGCCAGGGAGTTGTGCAGGGGGCATCAGGTGTCACGTGGCACCTCCTAGGCGAACTTCAAAGACCTCCTGTTCCTGTCACCCTCTCCCTGCATCCCCCCAACCCGAATCCCTTCTTTAGAGGCTCAGTGACAGATTAACGGAGGGCTGGAAGCAGGTGTATTTAGGGCCTATGCGATCAGAGAACTTGGAAGCAAACTCCTCATTTTAAAGATGATGAAACTGAGGCTCAGAGAAGTTGAGTAACCTGTTAAAGGTCACACAGCTGGCTGCTCAGAAGCAAGGCTGGGTGGGAGCCCCTGGTGCAGGGCTCACAGGCCGGGTGTCAGGAGTGTTCCTGGTGCACATAGAGAATCTGTTCAAACTGTTTTGGGGTACAGATCGGGACCTGTCTTCTCCAGGCCTGGCCTGTGGGGTAGGGGTGCCCTGGCAGTGCGTGGAGAGGGGCAAGGCCAGCGCCTCCTGCCCACCAGGTTCAAGTTCCGTAACACAGAACTACGTGTGCGAGTCCTCATCCAGGTTTGGGGGCTAATCTGTACAAACCAGGTCAGAATCTCCCTGGCTCTGGTTTTAGCTGTCATTGCTGAGAAATAAGGTTTTTAAATGCACAGCTCTAGCTTTTAAAAGGAATTTGGTTCTTCTATTTATTATTTAGGTCATTATTTAGGTTTTCTTTCCATTTCGTATTTATTGGTCTTTGGAGAAAACTATGTATTTTGCCTCAAGTTTTTGTTTTCTGAGTAAGTCTGTGGCGTAAGAGTTTTTATGACAACACGAGTGAGAGTCAGGCCGGGGCTCGAGGGGATGGGGATGGGCTGCCGCCATGTCCAGACTCTCTGGTCCCCAAGTCTGTTACCTCAGCAGGGCCTTGAGCCCCGGGCAATGGATGTCGTAGGACACCGAGTACATCTCGTACATAGTGGCTTTCACGTTGAGGCAGCCGATGACATCCTTGGGGTTCAGCTTGTACAAGTCGAAGGTTACTCTCGCGATCCCCTGTCTCTTTGGCGGCTGGCGGGCTGGGATGTAGGTAGCACCCTAGAGCGGTGGAGGAAGACAGCCTGCAGCACTGGCCCCGCTGTGACCAACAAATCCTGTGCCTCTGGTTTTAGGCTGGTTTCAGCTGTCCTGTCAGCTTAAAATCTGTGACTAAGCTGCTAACTATTCGAGGAATGTTTTCAGCAGAGCAGTGTGCTTACGTTGCCATGGGGTCCAAACCCATAAGAAAGTACCCTCCTCCAAGCTGCTCTGTTCAGTGACTGGAGATGAGTGTGATTCGGCTTCAGGGTCCAGGGGTCAGTGGACAGTTGTGCCGGTGACTTGAGGTGGAAATGCACTCACCCTGGTCACCTAGGGCCACACGGCCGCCTGCTGATGACCGTGCCACAGCCCACCTGACGGCCAGCGGGCACGCTATTCCCGCCGTACGAGAGGCACCATGGAGAGTGCCAGAATCCACGGCTAAGCCAGGGCTGGTGGCGTGTGATAAATCGTGGGCTCCCCCGATTTCTAGTTCCTGACCTGGAGGAAGGTTGGCCTCTTGCGGACACTAGTGGGACCTAGTCTCGGTCTACCTGAGACCCTTGTGGTTGGGAAAGAAGGTCAGAGACCTCTATAAATCCCAGGTTTATAAACAGTCTTCCCACAGAAGCTTTGAGAAGAAACAAGAGAGAACAAAGCTGTCCCAGGTACGCATCCCAGGTATATGTCCCAGGCACACGTCCTGGTGGGTTTGCTGCAACATGGTCCTGCAGTGTCCAGGATTCAAATAGAGGTACAACTTTCATGAACCTTAGGTGTTGGGAGTAGTTGAGGCTGTGAGTGTTAACTTCTCTGACAAAAATCTACTAAATTTGAATTTAAACCATAAATTCCCCTAAAAGCACCCAAACCCTTCTTGCTAGAGCCCCTCTTCTCTTCCCGCCCCCCGCCCCCCCCCACCCACTTGGACACATGATGGTTGCAGCCCATCAACTAACGCACCGAGGTCCTGCTGCCTCGGAGGGGGTATGTCTGTCGTTTAGGAAACGTTGGTAAAAATTAAGATTATAGAATCAAGGGGTGAGTTCCACCTGAGCCCCTGACACAGCTCCTCTCTGACGCATGAAAGTTTTAATCTCTCTCCCCCAACATCCTTGATCTTGAGTCAAAATCGAGATGCCTCCCCAAACTCGGGACCTAACGGGGGGTATGGTTTCCATCATCTGGACCCAGGAGACCCCTGAAGATGCTCTGAGGACCTGCTCCCCACGGGACAGGCTCCAAAGCTTTGGATTGAGGAAGGGAGACCCCTGGCGGCTACTTCTTGGAAGTTCTGGCCACGTCAAGTCAAGTAGCCTCACCTAGGAACCCCTACAAGTGGGGCAGGACTTACGATCCCTGCAGGAAGGAGGTCCAGACGCCTAAGACCCCGCATAAGACTCACGTCAACCAGGCTGTTACCAGACAGAGAAGCCTCCTCCCACCCAGAGAACCACCATATCGGTGCCACTCTCGTCCACAGCTTCCTGTCACCACCCTGACCCCCAGCTCAGCGCCCACCACGCGGGGGCTTCAACCTGTCACATGGCAACTGACACCCCCACTAAGTAAAAGAGAATTTCACTCGCAAAACAAACAGAACAGACCCTTTCCTTCTGAATTAGTTTCCTGGGGCTGCTGGGACCAATGGCCACAAGCTGAGTGGCTGAAAGCAACACAGACTCATGCTCTGACAGTTCTGGGGGTTGGAGGTCCTGAGTGAGCCGCAGGCTGTCCTGCTGGGGCTGCCGTCCCGGCTCCAGGGCGCCTCTGTCCCTCAGCCCGTGGCCCGTCTTCCAGTCACTCCTCTCTCTGCTTCCGCCCTCGCTGACCCTTCTGTGTCCCCCTTACAAGGACCCTGTGATGACACCGCCCCACCAGGCAATCCAGGATCATCACCCCATGCCAAGTCCCCTTTGCCACGTAAAGTGACACGTTCCTGGGTTCTGGGGATGAGGACGTGGGTCATGGGGGCCGGAGAGAGGGACGAGCTGGGTCATGAGCATCAGTGAATAAACTCCGTCCACTGATGCTTCCTCCTCGGGTCTCTGTGAACTACACTCCAGCTTGCGTGGTTTGGGACTCAGCAGTCCCTAAAGCCTCAGGGGGGCAGCTTGAGGCCAGGTGCTCAGGAGAGAGCTCTGGGCAGCTGTCCTCCCAGCGTCCAGCAGAGCTGGGGTCACTGTCTGCCCACAGCGGAGACGCCAGCTTCCCTCTCTGGATCCTGGTTTCCATAAAACGTTGGATTCTGAGGATTTCCCTTTCTTGAAGGTCAGTTAGGCATATAAAAAGACGTTTGAATATTTTGCTTTACATTTTTAGGTGCTTTATGGTGGGAGTGTTTTCCAAGATATATAACCTATAGTTTTCTCAGAAATAAAACCCTTTATTCTACCTCTTTGCTTGCCTAAATCACTGTGTTTACACCACACGCCCCTCCCTAATTTTACCAGTTGTGTCAGCTCGCCTTCTCCTGAGGTCACAGACAGTGAGTGGTCGCAGGTCATATCCACACACTCTAACCGGATCTGCAGCCCCTCACTGGCCAAAGCCTGACCCTCAGAATTACTGGCTCTAAATCACACAGTCCAGGTTCATAAAGATGCCAAGTTTCCTAGAAATAGTTGAAAGCATCCCTGGAGGGTAGGAGATCCAGTTATCAGGTGAACACAAAGGAAGTATTTGGAAAGTGGGCCAGTCAACCCCAAAGTGGGGACCACACTTCCATAGGTGAGAAGCCTTCCCAGAAGCTGCCCAGACAACACACTTACCGGTGTCCACTTCTGTCCCTTCTCCAGGACCATGAGGTGCGTGTTGTCCCCCAGGGTCTGGAAGAACGCCTCCGTGTCCACCACGGTGCCGTCCTCCTCCAACACCAACGTGACCAGTCCGCTGGCAATAACCAGGGCATCCAGGGTCTAGGTTAGAACACACCAGCGTCACGGGGTGAAGTGAGAGACTCTGTTTGGACCCATCCATGGCATCAACTAAATCATGGTTCCAGAAGTGTTGGCCAATTTTGAGGGTTTTAAATGGTAAAGATGTACCTTACCTGGTGTCTATGACTCAGCCTTTGCTTGGAAAAGAGAAGTTAAAAAATCAAATGGACCTAACTTCTTCAGAGGTTTCAACGACGTGAGATAAGGGGTTACACTGAATAATATTCAGTTTCTAAAATGTCCTGCTTATTTGGACAAATAAAAAGAACGACCCTGTATCTGTGATACTTAAAGAGCCGACATCTCTGTCGCTTCAGAGACGGCATGTTGGATTCTCATTTCTCGTCTCCTATGAGTCTATGATTCTTCTTTATCTGGCCATCGAGGACGCTGTTTTAGATTAAGGACAATTCGTCCCTGGCCTTTATAACCAAAACCAGATTTCTACAGTTGCTGCCTCCCATATTCCCCCTGTCAAAGAACCAAAGCCACATTATCAATTGATGGCTACTTTGAAGGTTTTTGTCTCTGTACCTAAGTCTTTTATGGGACAGGGACACAGCAATATTCCCTTTAATGTCAGAAGGCTTCCCCAGACCCTCCGAGGCCAGGACACAGACCCTCTGTCTTGCACTGGCTTGTTCTGGGACCCATGTGGGCTGGTGGGGTACCTTGATGAGGAGCTCCTGCAGGCTGCTGGCGGTCACCCCTCGGCGGCTGCTCCTGTCATGGTTGGAGACCCGGAAGGGGCGAGCGGGACGCATGAGGGGTGTGAGCAGCACCTTCTTCGTCTGCGACCCCATAAACGTCAGGGGCCTAGAAATGGAGGGAAAAGTAAAAACAAATTAATGTTACTTTAAAGCAGAGTCTTTAAAGAGAGGTTTGAAGTACACAGAAATAAGACAAGCTTAACATTTGCACCTAAAAGAAAGGAAGCCAATGGTTGGGGATGATTAAAAATTGTGTACCTGACATCCAAGGAACAAACAAATACATAAAATTAAAAAATACAATCATCGTTACACCCATTTTTACCAGAACATTCAAAGCCCTTGCAGTAACTGTTTGAGAAGGAAAGGTAAGGTCATCAAAAGAGAAATAACAATTATATTCTGCAAACATGGGTTTTAGAGCTGAAAAATCTAAGAAAATGATTTCTCCAGGCCGTGTAGTAACCGAACAGAGTTAAAGAATTAGGCACACACACAAATAGTTACATATCTGCATGATACAACAAAGCCAGAAATTTAAAAGCCAGATAGTGTTCACTATAGCAATAAACCAATTTTTTGAGATTAGGATAAATGAGGAACAGCAGAACCCTGTAATCACTGCGGCTGGAAAACCAACCGCTTCAGATTGTATGTCTGTCATGTGGCACTTTGGAGTGAGTTCCACATTTATCAAAGAATTAATTTAACAATTCACCACAAAAAAAGAACTAACATAGGAAAAGAAAACAACGTAGGAAAACCAAATCAAGACAATTTTCTGAGAAAAAAATCCCCAAGCCTTGATTATTAAAGTTTTGTTACCTAGCAAATACTAAAAAGTCATAAAGTGAAGGATAAATTAAAAACAGCTGATAAGTAGTAACTTCAGTAGTTTTTTTTTTTAACATACACATATTTTGCTTTATATGTATTAACTCAATCCTCAAAAAACCTAGTTTTCTCAATTTACAGGTGAAGAAACTCAGACCAGAGAGCAGGCCCCACAGGTCAGAGCTGGGATTTAGACCAGGCACCTGGTCTCTGCCTCAGAAAGGTGATCTAGACGCCACAGGCTAAGAAGGAATAAGAAGAGCCTGCATATCAGTGAAGAGGTGAAGATTTCACAACAATCAAAGAAATGCAGAACCACCTTTGACACCAGTGCTCTTAAACCCACATGCAAGAAGTTGTCTAAATAACTCTGGAGGGAACCAGATGCGCCTTGTTGGTGGGGCTGGAAGGGGGTTTTCAGTCTCTGTGGCGACCAGTCTGGTACTGAGGGAGGAGCTCCACCCTGGACAGTGGATGTTTTTATATCAGGAATGTATCTGTAGAGAAATTATTCACAATATAAACAGAAATCAGCAATGTCCCAGGTCCTGCTTTGTGCTGGCCACTGTGATAAATGTTGGACACTCAATCTCCTCAGACCCCGAGGGACTAGCACCTGTCATGGCACTGTCCCCCAACCCTGAACAGCGCTCAAATAGGTGGTGACTATCTGGACAAATCCTTGTTCAGTGACAATCAGGAGAAGGAAACAAAGGGCTTTATTTTGGGGGACAACCTTGAAGAAGATACAAAGTGAGGACATCACTGCTTTCTGACACTTATAGCAGTTTGTCTAGAGTAACTCTACGAAGGTTAAAATTCTAGGAATACCTGCTCTGTTTGCCAGTGTAGGCCACCTGCATATATATATATACTATATATACACACACCTGCATCTATATACATATGTGTGTATATATATATATATATATAATCTCACACACACAGTCATTTATCTATCTATGCTTTATTTCTCCAACTAGACTGGACTTTCCTTATGGACAAAGGTGACAACCTGGACTTGCGACTGGCATCTGAAGTGCGGGGGGCGGGCGGGGGGCAGTCTTGTGGGGCTGAGCCCTCACCCTGTGGAATCTGATGCCGTCTCTGGGTAGATGGTGCCAGAACTGAGTTCAGGGACTTCCCTGGTGGTCCAGTGGTAAAGAATCTGCCTTCCCTGGACACCCTGCCAGAGACTGAGAAATGCTTGGTGCTGTGTGGGAAGCCCCTCCCCCATCCTTACATGCTAGAATTGGTGTCACAACCTCTTTACCTAGATTGTCAGCAAGAATTTGGTGTGATGCATATTTAGCCGGCATCGGGCTTGTGCCTCGTGACTGCAGGCATCCGAGCACCTGCCATAGCCAGCAACGTGCTGGCTTTTTATACATTTATTTATTTATTTTTATTTTTGGCTGCATTGCATCTTCGTTGCTGCGCACGGGCTTTCTCTAGCTGCGGTGAGCGGGGACTCCTTTCATTGTGGTGCACAGGCTTCTCATTGCGGTGGCTTCTCTTGTTATGGGGCATGGTCTCTAGGTGTGTGGGCTTCATAGTTGTGGCTCACGGGCTCAGTAGTTATGGCTCTCGGGCTCTAGAGCACAGGCTCAGTAGTTGTGGCACACGGGCTTAGCTGCTCCACGGCATGTGGGATCTTCCCAGACCAGGGCTCAAACCTGTGTCCCCTGTATTGGCAGGTGGATTGGATTCTTAACCACTGTGCCACCAGGGAAGCCCTGTGCTGGCTTTTTTTTTTTTTTTTTTGCGGTACGCGGGCCTCTCACTGTTGTGGCCTCTCCCGTTGCGGAGCACAGGCTCCGGACGCGCAGGCTCAGCGGCCATGGCTCACTGGCCCAGCCGCTCTGCGGCATGTGGGATCTTCCTGGACCAGGGCACGAACCCGTGTCCCCTGCACCGGCAGGCGGACTCTCAACCACTGCGCCACCAGGGAAGTCCTGGCTTTTTTAATATATTAACTAATTTCATCAAAACCTTACAAGGAAAGTATTACCCCATTTCTCAGGTGAGAAAACTGAGGCTCAGAGTGGTTTCTCAAGGTCACCCAGTTAATAAGGAATCTCTCTGAAATTCAAGTCCCAAGCAGTAAACATTGGCCAGAGCCAGTGAAGAAGAGCTGTGGGCTGGGAGGACACCCACAGCTCCTCTCCAGGGTCACCACCCAGCCTGAGGCCAGCGTGGCGGCTGTAAGGGGACTATGCCTAGCCAGTGGTCCCCACACAGCTCTCCCACCAGAATTAGAGCGGCCCAGCGAGGGAGACCAGGGCTGAACCAACCCTGTGGGGGCCTGGCACACAGCCGCCAGACCTCTGCCCCAGTTCCAGGGAGTTACACAGGCTCCTCATTACACAACACGACAACCAGGGGCCCATGTTATGCTGGGCTGACGCTCAGAGTCCTCCCTGGCAACCCGGTGGATAAGGCAGCGAGGATTATCCACACAATGCTTCCCAGCTGGGACCTGGCTCTGTTCTCAACCTGATCATAGCATCATAGGAAACTTGAACTCACGGTGAGGAGAAAAGAAAGGTACCAGCACACTGCCTGACCAGGCCAAAGGCGAGCATCGCAGCTGAGTACCAGGGAGGCTCAGGGCGTGGAGGGAAGGATCGTCAGAGTCGCGGGGTGGGGGTGGGGCGGGGAGGTTGCCCACTGGTGAAACCCTCTTCTGGTGCGGGGAGCCCGGGGCCTGCCAGCAAGAGCCTCCCTCCCCCCAGAGCAGGGAGTCATTCCTTTGTCCCCGAGTAAAAGACAGGCTAGGGCCAACCATAGAAGTGGGAGGGTGGGAGGACAAAGTTCACGTCTTGGAACCTGGGCCCGGGCCCTGTGTGGGGCCAATGGCATGCCCTGGGCTGAACAGCTCTGACACAGTTAGTCTGGTCTGTATCTCCTCATCGCCACCTTTGTGAGCCCCCAGGTGATCCACTGACCTAGCTCCGCCCACCACAAAGCCCTCATAGTCTTTTAACTTCTGACCAGATTAAGTGCTGGCAGTCACTCCCGGGGCCTTCCCCCCTCGCTGCCCTGAGATAGCCGATCTCAATAAGGAAGGAAGTCCAGTTGTTGCTGTTCTTACGCCGTACGTTTCCCAACAGAGAACTGGGTCACTGTTGGAGAAAAGGCTTAGGAGCCACCTAAAAAGGCCCTGCAGGCATGAGCCATTCTTTCCAAGGAACAGGATGAGTGATTTGATGCACTGAATTATATATAATCAAGACTACCTTATAGATGATGTAAAAAGGGGTTAAATGCTATCTTAGGTACACTAAATATACTACGTCTGATTACTCTGCTCCAGCGAAAGGAACAGCAGGGACAACCAGGTACAAGAACAAAGCAACATATTAATCCAGCTCAATTCTGGTCCTCTTAATGGGATCATTTATGTCACTGGCCACTAGACCAAGGCTGAAAATGTGTTGCTATTCCCCCTGAATGCTGTACTACATCGAAGTGGTCACAGGAGCACTAAGAAGACTTAGAATCCAGCTTTTGGCAACCCCTCATGCTGGCCGCCCTCTCATCCCTGGGAACGTGCAGGCAATCACACAAAACAGGAAGGGAAATGGCTCAGTACACGGAAAAAAAAACCCCAAGGAAACAGGCTCTTCAAGGAAATCGATTGTTTGGGGAAATCAAGACGATAAGAAAAGTCAGACTTCATAGAACATTCTGGAAAATTGTGAGGGTGTGTATCTCCCAGAAGTGAAGGAACAGGGAAGTCTCTGTATTTTTCCAGGAGGGAGTGAGAAGTCCTCAACTCGTAGAGGAAATGAAGGAACAGGCACAGACTGACAGTGGACGTGAACCCCGCTGCAGTGGAACAAAGCTGGCCCACAGGTCCCAAGAAGGCGTCTTTCGAGGCCACCTTCTGGACTGATGTTTGTTCTGAAAGCGCTGGGGGAGAAAAGCAGGCCTGGGAACAGGCTGTCAGGTGGACAAGGAGGGCCCACGTGAAGAGATAAAGCTCAGACAGAGCTCTGTGCCCAAAGCCGGGTGACAAGGACAGTGCAGGGAAGGGAAGTGTGACCCCATGGGAATGCAGAGAAGGGGCAGGCCTTGGAAAGCATCCATCAGGCTTGGCGGGGCCTCCAAGAGCTGCAGGGACAGTGGCTGAGGGACAGTCTCAGGGGTGGTGGGGTCTCACCGCGGCAGGAAGCAGAGGAGTGTTGGCCCCTGCGAGGCTTCCTGCTCCCCCGCGGGCCCGGCTCATGACAAGCAACACATGGGACACGTGGGCCCCACTGGGAGCCCCACGGCGGGACTGTGGCAGCTCCCGGCTGTGCCTTGACCCACCCAGCAAAATGCTTGGCTAGAAAGCATATCCAATACATGACCGTGAAGTCTTTGAACACTTTGAATATTATTAAAATAAGAGTGTAGACCACGAAGGAGTAAGCGTCAGTAACCTGAGAGATCGACTTGTAGAAAAGTCAATTCCTCGCTTGCATCACTAACAAGACTGGTCAAATTTGTACTGAAAGGGCAGCTCTTCAAAACCTAGAGTTCCTTGTTCAAGGAAAGAGGTACTAAATAGCTACAAAAGCAGCTATTTTGCACAAAGTGTAAAGGAAATCAGCTCTGTAACAACCTCAGGGTCAGTGTGAATGTTAACAAAGCCAGAACACAACGTCAGAGCAGGCTTCCTCTGTAGCAACACACACCCTATGGACATCCTGGGTGTCCAGAGCTGAGCCAGGAAACCTTGGGCTGTAGCTGCTGGGTCTACAGCCTGGACTCGGCTTTAAAGAAGGCAGAAGACAAAAGTTTTGCTTTCAGCAAGTGTTACAGATGGTGCAGAAGCAGGTGGGGTACCAAGAATTAGAGCAGCTCAGTTCTCAAGCAGGAACCCAATGACAGTGAGTCCCCACAGGTGGTCCCTAGCTCCCTCCCAGAGCCCTGCACTCAGGGCTGTCTAAGCAGATCAGTCCTTCCCCATGTGCTCATCTGCCAACATTTCAGAAGCAAGTCGCTTCCACCTCACACAGAGACGTTTTGGGTTTGGGATTGTGCTGTAGGGTTAGGTACAAAGGCAGGGGCAGCCTTAATTCTTCAGGCCTCGTCTCCTCCCGCTGCAGGCCACACCAGCCAGGGCTTAGGGCCCCCTCACAGTCCTTTCAACTTGGCCTGCCAGCTCAGTGCTGGGAGGACCTCGGAGAGGTCCATGGGAGAAAAGTTTGGAGGATGCATTACAAACTGTCAGCAGTTGCTACCCTTGGGAGTGGGACTGGGGGGCGAGTGAAGCTAGAGGTAGAGGAAGAAACCAAGGGTCTTCCCCTTAGGCCTAAACCACATCAGTGAAGATGCATGAAAATGTCTGTTTCTCACCTTCCTGGGGTCCTGTTTTTAAAGAGAAAGTCCAAGCGGCAGACAGCGCCCCCTTCCATCTTGGCGGCTCTCTCTAACCTTGGGCCTGGCACAGATCCCCCTTTAAAGACCCAGGTTCAGAAGCTTACAGATCACACTCCCCTCTCTCTCACCCACCCCATCCCTCCAGCCCAGTCACCTCAGAAAACCTGCATTTTAAAGAACTCAAGGAGATCTTCAGAGAAGCAGGATTCCTCCCCCAAGTCTGTAAAGTTACTGCCACCCAATATCTTTAGGATTTTACAGACAAGGATTGGTTTGGGTTTCCTGGGTGTGAAGATGAACCCAAGAATGGAAAAAAAGTGATGCAGGGCCTGGATCACGGGCGCGTGGACCGGGAGAGGAGGCGGCGGGCGTCCGCGGGCCCCTCTACCCCTCTCCGTCCCCCAAAGCGTCACCACTTCCCCCCAAACTCCTCCTTACAAACCTGGGGGCTCAGTCAGCACGGTCAGGGAGCGTCCAGGCCCGGGCGCGCCCCGGTTAGCCCACCACGCTCGGAGCCGGAGCCCGCGCGGCCCTGAGGGTCAGCTGGCCGCCTGGAGGCCGCCCAGCGTCCCCACCAACGCCCCTCGTCTCGCCCCAGCTCGCACCGCGGTCCGGGACCCCGAGAAGCCTGGCCGCGCGCGCGCCCGGGCCTCCAGGGACGGGCCCCGTCTGCATCCGCGGCGGTCGCGGCTACAAATGCAGCCACTCCGCACTCACCACGGTCACCTGTTCCGCGGACGCCCGCGCACCTCGGGAGCCACACCTGGCGCTGGCGGCCGGCCGGAAGCGGGGAAGGGATCGCGCGCGGGCTCCGGCTGGGCGCCTGGGCGCAGGGGTCGCGGGGGTGGGGGAGCGCAGGGAGAGCGGGACGCACGAGGACAAGGGGCGCCGCGGTGAGAGGCGCAGGAGGCGCAGGAGGACCGGGGCGCAGGGGGACGAAGGGGGCAGGGGGATGCGGGGCTCGCGGGGACAAGGGGCGCCTGGGGCGCAGGGGGCCGAGAGGGGGCGGGGAAACGAGGGGCCCGAAGGCGGCGGGGTCGCAGGCCCGCGGGGCACTAGCCTGAGGAGGGCTCCGGCGCAGTCCCGGGCCATGTCCATCGCTCGGGTCGCTGTGGGGCCGGCCTCCCCGGGCGCAGCCTCTTAAAGCGCCGCTGCCGGCCCCGCCCGCGTCCACGCCCCTTGGGCTGCGGAGACCGCGGAGGACGACAGTCGCCACTTTCCAGAGCCCAGCCGCTCCGCGAGCTATAGGGGGTCGCCGGTCGGCCTGTCGGAGGTTGGGGCAGTCGGGGACACCACCACGCTGGCAGCGTGGCCTCGGCTGTGGAAAGGCTGGTGTGGCCCCAGGATTCGGGAGACCGTGGGGCGGGATGCACGCAGGTCCCCCAGGGCCGCGCCAGCCGCTGCCTTTGGGGCGAGGACCCGCCCTCAGGGCCAACCCGCCAGGCTGTCTCGCGGCCGGGACAGGGGGTAGAGGAGGTGAAGGACCCCGAGGACTTCACAGTCCTTTAGCTACAGGGAAGGGACTTTCTCAGAGTAGGGAAGGCGAGAGAAACACCGAGCCAGGGCGAGGGGGTAACCCGGGTCCTACTTGCATAGCCCTCGGGATGGGAAGATCCAATAGCGCCTGTTCAGACCCCAGAAGGGGCGGAGCTGTCAGGGATTCCATAGCTCTTAATTGCGAACTTGGAGCGGACTCTGTTGAGCGGGTTAAGGAGTGGGGTGGTCTCCCAACCCTGGCGCTTTAAAAGGGGTAAACCGGGATGAAAGCGTCCAGCGCCGCCCTGCACGCAGGGTGACTGGCCCTCGCCTTGTCAGCCTGCTGCCCGTGCTGCTGCGAGGAGCCGGTTTCCAAAGAGCTGTGACCTGACCTCTGCCTCAGTCCAGGACTCACTTGACCAGCACAGCAGGCCCTTCTACCCGCTCCCCCTCCCTTTAGTCACAGAGACAAACACATGTCTTGCCCTGAGGGTCACTGGTGTCACCGAGATGAGGGTGGAGCCAAAAGCAATTTCCTTGCCTAACCCCAGCCCCAGGCAAGGTGGTTCCTGCCCAGAGCCCCGGGGCCCCTGCCGTGGTCTGAATGTTTGTGTCCACCCCACACTCATATATTGAAACCCTAATGCCCAGGGTGATAGCACTAGAAGGTGGGCTTTGGGAGGTGCTTAGATTGTGAGGCCGGAGCCCCCATGGATGGGATTAATGTCCTTATAAAAGAGGGTCCAGAGAGCTCCCTCACCCCTTCTGAGGGAGAGGATGGCCAGCCATGAACCAGGAGGAGGTGTCACTAGAACCCGGCCCTGCTGGCCCCTGATCTGGGACTTCCAGCCTCCAGAACCATGGGCAGTAAATCTCAGCCATTCATAATAAGCCACCCTGTGTACAGCATTCTGTCAGCGCAGCCCTACCAGACTAGACACGCAGTTTGACAAATGAGAAAGTGGGTCCAGCCAATTCAACTCCCCTCTTTAAAAACTTTTTATTGTAAAAAATTTCAAATATAAAGACATATAGGGGGGCTTCCCTGGTGGCACAGTGGTTGAGAGTCTGCCTGCCAATTCAGGGGACACGGGTTCGTGCCCCGGTCCGGGAAGATCCCACATGCCGCAGAGCGGCTGGGCCCATAAGCCATGGCTGCTGAGCCTGCGCGTCCAGAGCCTGTACTCCACAATGGGAGAGGCCACAACAGTGAGAGGCCCGTGTACCCAAAAAAAAAAAAAAAAAAAAAAGACATATAGGGACTTCCCTGGTGGCACAGTGGTTAAGAATCCACCTGCTAATGCAGGGAACATGGGTTTGATCCCTGGTCCAGGAAGATCCCACATGCCGTGGAGGAACTAAGCCCATGCGCCACAACTACTGAGCCTGTGCTCTAGGGCCCACATGCCAACTACTGAGCCCACGTGCCACAACTACTGAAGCCCATGCGACTAGAGCCCATGCTCCGCGACAAGAGAAGCCACCGCAATGAGAAGCCCGCGCACCACAAACAAGAGTAGCTCCCACTCCCTGCAACTAGAGAAAGCCCGCGAGCAGCAACGAAGACCCAATGCAGCCAAAAATAAATAAAATTTTAAAAAACCTTTAAAAAAATATAAAGACCTATAGAAAGAACATGCCATGAGCATCCTTATACCCAGTGCCTGGATTCAATCACCGTTAACATTTTGACATATTTGCTTGTTCTTTTAATCTGTATTTTTATTTGAACCCCTTCACATCAAATCCTTCAACCTGCATCTCTGAAGAAACCAGAACGTTGTCACACACACCATAGTGATGTCACCTCTCCTAATGAAATAAAAGTGACTCCTAGTCACACCTGTTCATCCACGTGGTAGCAGTGGTCACGATTTCCTTCCTTTCTAAGGCTGAATAATACCTCACTGTGTGGATGGACCACATTCCATTTATTCATCAGCCATTGATGGACACTTGGGTAGCCTCCCTCTCCTGGCCACTGTGAATAGTGCCACTGTGAACACCAGTGTACAGATATGGCATCATGTTTTTTAAAAATAGAAAACCAGGGTGGCCCAGACCTTTTCCTTCCTTTTCTGCACTGGTCTTGCTGCCAACCAGAAATCTGTCAGAGCTGGTGCAAGACCAGGACACACCCATGCCAGCTTCGAGCCATGGCAGTGATCAGGGTGAGCAGAAGCTGAGGCTTTTCTCGAAGCTGACAGACAGCAAAGGCCATCCGTGTGCCCAGGGATGAGACTCTGGACGGCTGGGAGTGGCAGCTCCAACCCTCTTGCCCCACATGTCCACTCTGGCCCCATTTGGCTCCACATGTGGCGTACCCGCCAAGGTGGGGGAGGGGGGACCTGCCACCAGCTGCCTGGTGGCTGTAAACAGCTCTTCCTCTGGCCACCAACCCGGCCGCCTGGGCGTCTGGCTGCTGCTTTGCCTGCTGTCCTGCCGCCCGCCGCCCGCCCCCCCCCCCGCCCCGCCCCGGCCCTTGGACCCCCGTCCCACAGCCTAGGCTTTGCATGAATACTCTCCAGCCAAGGCTGCCAACGGGCAGACTGGTGACACCACTGTGGAGGCACCGAGGTTTGCGAGCTCATACACAACATGGAGCCCTGTACAGGACCAGACTGTGGCGGCATCACCGTCCGCGAGGTCTCTTCAGAGCCTGTGGGAGCGGTCACGTGCCTTTCCGCGTGCCCAGCACATGCCCAGGGCGGGGACGGCTCGTGGGGCCCTGCCGACGCGTCATGAATCCGTGCGTGACCGCAGAGCCCGCTCAGGTGCACCACAGGGGGTTAGGCGGGAGCTGCCACCAGAAACGCACGATTTCCCCAGATCCGCACAGCAAAGTGGGGCTGCATGTGCCCTGCAGCCACGGCCCTGGGACGGCTCCCATCTCTCGTGTCCTCCCACCACCTTGGGATAAGATCCTGTGGTTAGACGCTCTGCACCTGTGGTGCTCAAGCTTCGCAGAGCTGTGGTCCTGCACGGAGAGAAGCTGCTTCCCTACTTCGCTGTATTGTTTTCATTGATTCTAGAACACAAGGTGTGAAGAGAATAACGTCCTACATGTGGTCGTACAATCCACCAGCTAGGACAGCTGGCGGTGTCCCAACAGAGGGAGCTTGGGCTGGCTGGTCAGGTGGGGCACAGGGGCCACCAGATGGAGCCTGATGTCTAGAGGCCACACTGGCTTGGCGGTGGTGGTGGTGGGGACGATGCTGGTGCCCAGAAGGGAACCAGAGCCACCTCACCTGGAGGCGGGGGCAGGACAAGACAGGGATCTGAGTCCTGACACCACCACACAGAAGCCTCCTTGGTTATTCGCGGACCCACAGGTGAAAGCCAGAGCTGAGACGGAAGCTGAAGGATCCCAGCGTGGGGGGTGGTCTCTGGAGGACGGTGTGCCTTCAGTGGGGGTCAACGAGGGGCCGGACACTGGTCGGGGTGCAGGGGAGATTCGAGGCCCCGAGGGGTGGCAGGGGCACCAAGTGGCCGCTGAGGCTCCCCACCTGCATGCAGCCTGTGGTCCTTGTGTGGGTATCAAAGGTGGGTCCTCATGCACAGCAGGCATGAGACGCCCTAGTCCCAAAGGAGACCCCAGTCCTCACGTGTCTGAGCCCTTTACCTGTGTGCCTTTCGGGACATCACCTGTCACCCCATTCAGATCAGATCAGAAAACTTCCTAAAGATAGCGAATGTATCAATCAGTAACCCAAGGGGAGGTGGAGGTGAGGCCTCTGGGGATTGGCTTGGGGAGGGAATTACCCCCTGGGAGGCCCCCTGGGCTCCACCAGGTGCGTGAGCTGGCCTAGTGCACCTGCCCTGTGAGCAGCAGGTGGCACAGGGGGGTCGGCGTCATGGGCTCTGAGGCCCACAGTGTCCACAGAGGGGAGCAGGGCCGGTGGGCTTACCGAGGGCTCTCCAGGGTGTGGTTTGGTGAAAGTGCCTGGGTCATTGCACAGGCCGAGCCCCGGAGTTTAGGTGCCAGGGCCGCTCTAAATACTTTTTTTTTTTTCGCAGTACGTGGGCCTCTCACTGTTGTGGCCTCTCCCACTGCGGAGCACAGGCTCCGGACGCGCAGGCTGAGCGGCCATGGCTCACGGGCCCAGCCGCTCCGCGGCATGTGGGATCTTCCTGGACCGGGGCACGAACCCGTGTCCCCTGCACCGGCAGGTGGACTGTCAACCACTGCGCCACCAGGGAAGCCCCTAAATACTCTTTAATTATTGTTGACTGCAAATTAGGAACACGAGGGAGAAAGCTAAGCATGGGCTGGAATTTCCTCCATCCTAAGACTGACTTCCTCAACTTTTAAACTTCAGAAAAGACACGTAGCCAGCCAGTGAATATCCTCATTAGAATTATTCTTATATATAATTCCTCCTCCTAAAGAGGAAAAAAATAAGGCCCAGAAAATAATTTTCTTCGTTAAACCGATCACAAAAACATTTTAACACAGCATTTTAGACGTTTGGTTTTCTTCAGTCTGACCCATGTCTCGGATTTTAAATACTGACGTGATAATTACTGAAGTTGTTTTCATCACCCGTGGCAGGCAGATAGCAAGCATGTCACCTCTGGGCTGTCACATGCAAACTTCCCTAAAGAGCCTGTGGATTTTGGGGGTCGTTTGGGGAAATAGGCGACACACTTGTGGAGGGAAACAAGCAGAGAGTCATCATTTGGTTTATTGCATTCTGAAGTACCATGGGCAGAGGCGGGGGAGGTCGCTGAGAGCAAGTCTGCTTTATCAGCAGTTCGAAAGCCTTATTACCTGAGATTTGCATTCTGGAAAAAAAATTGCAATTGCAGTATCAATACATACATCCTGTGAGATCCAGGTTTTGGCCCCGGTAGGAGGGCTGGACCAACCCACACAAGGCTACGTGAGATTACAGAGAGGAACCACTGGACACCAAAGTCAACAAGACGTGGGCTCAGCCAGACAGCCCGGACTCCAGCCTGATGGCTCCTTGGGGGATCAGGAACTCTTGCTCCAGGTTCCCAGGAAGGCCCCGTCCTGGGGCAGCCCTGTCTGCTCTCCTCACCTCTCATCGTCCCGCCCGTAGTTAATCGTCTGTAGGGCCTGAGCTATGAGCACCGCCATTTCCCGTGTGCCCGCAGCAACCACCCTGCAAGACATGAGGTCTAGCGGCCCGCCTGTGGACAGAGGGACAGGGTGTCTGGGTTAGGGAGGGGGCGGCACGACCCCCATCAGCCCAGCACTCAGGCTGAGCCAGCCCAAAGGGTGGAGGCTCAGCCCCGCTCTGCCCCAACCTGGGTGCCATCCAGGACCGGCACCTCCTGAGGCTGTGCTGGGAGAAAGCGGCTTAAGGTACAGCGTTCAGACCCGAGGCTCAAACAATGTTAGGTCAGGACAGGGAGCAGTTCTCAAACTCTGCGCTGCACGGGCCTCCAGGGACCCAGGAGGCCTTGGTGGGGGGGTGCTGGGGGTGGCCTTTCTGCTGGGCCCCTCGACGTGGCTGCTCTGTGCACCAGGTATCTGGGGCAGGATGAAGGCCCTCGACCTCCTGGAGG